ACTGCGACTGCGAATGCGACTCTGACTGTTCCCGGTTTCTGGCTCTGCAGTTGTGCTGTTCTCAGTTCTTTGTTGTTCCTGGCACTCCCTGCCCCTTCTGTGCTGTAATTAAGTTTTAGTTGTTGTGTTGATGACATAATAGCATTAACGTCATTACTTTGAGCCATTTTGACATCCATCGTCTATATGTAGATACGACATTCGATGCTTGTCGCTGTCTCTGACTTCACACACGGCTTATTGTTTTATGAAATTATGCGGTTTCTCAATTAGATTAAATGCATTTCTGTCGAATCGGTTCAAGTTCAATGCTCGAACTTTGTGTGTGTGAGTGTGTTTGTGTGCGAGTGTTGGCGAGATTGCGGGTCTTGAGCGAGGCTCGTGACGTTGTGTGGTATATATGTATGTGGGTGTATTGTTCCGATACAGGAACAGAATAAATCGTGTATGGGGGGCAAGATTATTACGCTGCGCACTGTTTGATTTGGATATCATTCATGCCTTGATTTATTCTATTTCCAGGGCAAACAAGAGTACCAGGGTAAGTGAAGAGATTTCTCAGAAACATATAAGCAATTTTCCACCAATCCAATCTATTTTTATTTATGTTAGATAAACAAATGTGGGATTTGGTAGCTGCTCTAACAGCTTTTCAAGTTTTCTAAGAACTATACACATAAATTAAAATGTATTTAATAAAAACAAATAAAATTTTCACATTTTAAGATAATGAACCAAAAATTAAATTAATTTAATTAATGAGTTATTAGAGATGGATATCAGTTACGCATTACAGAGGACGAAAGCAAAATAGCAATTTCCTCAAGTGCTACCTAAAACAATTTTTTATATTCATTCGAGCCTATAATTGATGTTAAATCTCTCAATATGACTCTTTCAACTTTTTCTTGGGAATAAGCTTCACTTGCAAGAATAGCGCTAAGAATAGCATATGTACAAGTACATATGTATGTATGCTGTATGGGGTCAGACATTTTTAAGGATATTTTTTCGATGTTAATTAATTAAGTTTGTCAAAATTACCCAACACTGTTCCGACTTCTTCGATTGTGGTGTTATAGCAGAAGCCTATTTGTGAAACTCTACTTTTGGCTCCTTTTTATAAGTACTTATGTACATAAATGTATATTTACATTTACATCAATACGGAATTGACGGTTTTTTCAAACACTGTTTTCAAAGTCGCAAAAATCGTCAGTAAGCACGTGATCTTAACACATTTATACGAGCCCTAACCACTATTAATTGGTACGGCATGGTTTTTTTCGACAGTGCAACTTTCAATGACTCATATTTATTTGTAGGCGATGATTGCCCAAACATATTTATATTTTTTAAAAAGGTCATTGAATTACCTTTAATTTCATATCAAAACATGCACAAGTTTCATATCAACAAAATGAAAAAACTCAATTTAAATAAAACAACTTTCATACTACACGAAATATTTTGACCATTATTAATTGGTACGGCAACATTATTTTTGTTAAAAAAACGGTGAAAAATGTAAAATGTAAACAAAAACTGGACAAGTAACGGTAAATAGAATATTGTGATGAAGGAAAAGTAAAAACATATGACATTTAGTTGTAGTTTTAGTTTTATTCCCTGATTTATGAGCACGATGGCACGTGGCAAGCCAGTTTGTGAGGAAGTTCGAGCTAAAATTCTAAAAAAATTAAATTTGGGCAACAGCTATGGTGAAATATCGAAAAGTCTTATGCTTTCTAAGTCTACAGTTCAAAATATAGTGAAAAGCTACAGAAAGAATGGCAATATACACTGTAATACAGCAAAAAGAGGTCGAGTCTCAAAAGTTACTTCGCGTGACAAAAGAAGTTTGTCGAGTATAATAAAGGAAAATCGGCGAAGTACTGTGAGAGATATATCGGCAAAATGGTCTGCAAAAATTGGGAAAACAGTGAAACGAGAATGGACTCGACAGCAAATGAAAAGAATTGGATATGGCTTCTATAAGGTATGATTGCGGTTCCTGCTTAGCATAACAGATAATTTTTTCTGTACAATTAATATATGTTGGTGTTTTTAGGCCAAAGAAAAACCATTGCTCACAGCTTTGCAGATGAAAAAACGATTGCTATGGGCAAGACAAAGGCAGAATTGGGAACAGAGGCGTTGGCATTCTATAATTTTTAGCGATGAATCCAAATTTGATGTGTGTGTCGGTGATGCTCGAAAACGAGTAATACGAAAACGTACGGAGGCATATCACAAAGATTGTCTTAAACGTACAGTCAAGTTTCCAACGAGCACAATGGTGTGGGGATGCATGTCAGCCAAAGGTGTGGGACAACTTTACTTTATAGATGGAACTGTAAATGCAGAAAAATATAAGTGTATCCTTCAAAGTAATCTCCTTCCATCAATACCAAAGCTTTCTGAGTGTGGGGAATATACCTTTCAACAGGATGGTGCATCACCACACACCGCAAAAACAACCAAAAATTGGCTTCAAGAAAATGGAATTGATGTCTTAGATTGGCCGTCATCAAGCCCAGATCTAAGCCCAATAGAAAACTTGTGGGCAATCATCAAAAGAAAGCTGAGGAATGACCCACAGCGTACTCTGTCAGGACTAAAATCAAAAATTCAGGAAATTTGGGATTCCATAACTCCAGAAGAATGCCTAAAATTAGTAAATACCATGCAGAAGAGAATTCAGGGTGTTATTAAAAATAAAGGAGATGTTACTCAGTTTTAATGAATATATAATGTTGCCGTACCAATTAATAATGGTCAAAATATTTCGTGTAGTATGAAAGTTGTTTTATTTAAATTGAGTTTTTTCATTTTGTTGATATGAAACTCGTGCATGTTTTGATATGAAATTAAAGGTAATTCAATGACCTTTTTAAAAAGTATAAATATGTTTGGGCAATCATCGCCTACAAATAAATATGAGTCATTGAAAGTTGCACTGTCGAAAAAAACCGTGCCGTACCAATTAATAGTGGTTAGGGCTCGTACACCTTAGGTCATCGGTACTTCAAAACAATTTTGCTGACCTTATCGACTGCACACATTTCATTTAACGACCTTAGCGAGGCGCAGCAAAAGTGGATGTGTAAATATCTTAAAACTTACTCAGCCCATTGTAGACATTCACAGTACGTTTTTATTTTGAAATACGATAATTATGTGAATTATTTAGTGAAATGTTTTCAAAATAATATCAATATCGAGAGATTTGAGGCTAGCGTTACAGATTCAATTTAAGCAAATAACTTTTTGTGATTTTTTAAAAATGTTTCAAAACGTTTTTATTAAGTTGGCAAAGGGCGAGTTCAAACTTTGGGCGTATTCTAAAATTGTAAACATTGTTCGAGACGTATATGACATGATTGATAAAATCTACGATAGTGCATTCAAATTGTTGAGATTTCATACGAGAATAAGTGGTTCCCAGGTAAAAGATTCGCTTGGAATGTTTTTTAGAGAGATGCTATTTGGAATTGGAAATTTTAAATGGAGTAATGCTGGAAGAGCTTTTTGAACCATTTAAGCACTTATTCAGTCGCTCCTGTTCATAATTCGTTTCTTTGTGTTGGTCAACTTTTGTTTTTGATGGCATTTTATAGAAAAAATGGGAAATGTTCATGTTATGTTTACGCTGGTGAATATTTTGCACTTAATAATAATATAATAATCTGAAAGAACTACCTCTTATTGAATTGGCTTCGGAATAATCCTCAATTGTGTCTGTAAATTTAAGGAAGAATGGTGGCATATGATAAATGCGGAGAAAGTTGAATAAATAAGATGGAGAGAGGCCAAACAAGGTACGTTTTTTAAGGTGCTTGCTCATAACCTGAGTCATGTTTGGGACACAGGACGTGGCACGTTAACGGTCAAAATTAAGTTAAGGGAGCGCCCCACGCATTCGTCGATGAGATAGACAAGAACAATGTGATTCATTCGGATTTAGCTTAAGCTCGATATAGTGAAGCACAGTTTGATATCAATTGCGCTTGTTTTCCGGGAAGCGTTGAATGAAAATCTGATAGTACTCGTACTTATACAGAAGATTAAATTTAATGGCTTGCAGAAAAATGCTACGATAATTAAAAAGAAGCCCGCCTATTAAAGCCGCTGCATATGGCGCCGCATATTTTATGTACAAGCATAAATACATACATATATACATATGTATGTATGTATAATCACGTGTGGTGATGTGTAATTGTTTGCTTGTTCTGCGGATTATCTTTTCGCTGAACTTTTACTTTTGCAGTTTGTTGTTGTTGTTGTTGGCACACACACGGCGGCATTTCGTTTGGTTCCAATTATAAGTACTGAACAACATTTGCATTTTGCCAATTTTCAGTGAATTTTATTTTTGGCAAGCACCACAAGCTACAGTCACAGCCACATTTGTCATCTGGCCGACACGTAAATACAAATACGTGTGTGTGGACCAAAGATACAGATATACATAAATTCGAATATGGCAGCGACGATCGGGCCAAAAGGCAGCAAGCGGCACGTACACAGATTTTTACGATTATGTTTATATTTCATTGAGATTTGGATTCGCTTGTTTCTCATTTTTCATGCACATGCATTTACCGTTAATTAATCGTCAGGTAACGAGAATCGCAGTCAAAACTTCACGCTGCGGCGACTTTGGCGCACCTTTTCACGCTTTGAAAAACAATTTAAATAATAACGCACACAGCTAATACGTTATTCTTCTTTTTTTTAGCAAACAACTCTAGAACGACGAGAGTAGATAAGTATCTTGTGCGTTGCGACTACGTCGGTGGACTGACAAATGCAAGATACATTTGCCCGCTGGCGTCGAGCCCGCGCATGACGAGCGATTAAGAGAGCGCAATGCGAACAAGAGAGAGAGAGAGAGACACAGGGAGAGAGCAAATCGTGCTCAGCCTTTTTGCTTATCAGTATGGAGAAAAGCAAAAGATCTTAATGGCCATTCGTAGAGTCCTTGTTAGCCATAATCAAGAGTGCAAAACAGAAACATTTATTAATCAATCAATAAATTAGTTAGCTGGGTCGCGGTTGGCATTCGCATTAATCTTTTGTTGTGGAGGCGTTCCAGCGTGCCTGGCAACAGTCGTAGGCCAGTCCAAGGCCAAATCCCAGACCCATCCAGATGGGATAGGTTCGTGGGCGCGTGAAACACAGCGTCAGTACTGAACCGATCAGAATTCCGCTACCACCCTTCATCACCACATCCGCGATGCACTTGTCGTTGATTTTGGAATGTTCCGACTGACATGGCGGCTTTGTTTGAGGCGCATGTGACATGTTTTGTTTTGTTTAGTTTAGATTCACAGAATATTCTAATTTTTAGTGTGTTTTTTCGAATGGATTAAATACTTTTTCGGTCTGACAGTGAAGTTGACAGAAGGGAAAATTGAACGTTAGTATGTACATATGTACATATGTAAAGATTTAAACATTCTTTATGATCAGCAGCTCTTGATCTATTCGCCACATTGGCTAATGCTACAAGAGTTGGTGACGTTTCAAGCTCTTTTTTAGCGTATCACTTTACAGCTCGACTGGCCCTTTTACCGGTGTTGTAATCCCGCTCTGTTTCCGTTGGCTCACGCACTAAGACGATTGACACAATTCGCCATTCCACATTCCACTCACCTCTGCGGAAAATGTTAAAGATATGCAAGCACTTCAAATTACAATTGCAGCTAATTTTCTGCATGTTGTGAGGAGAACTGTAGCTGTGGGCCGGCGAAACGTATACTTGAAACTAAACCGTGGGCCGAGGGCTAGACACGCACACACACACACACCACACACAGGTGTTGGGTGCTTTGGGTGTGAGCTCGAATGCGTAATGGCTGGATTACCATACGAATTTGGAGAAGGCAATGCCGGCAAGAAAAGAAGTTATGACAGCTGCATATTAATTTTGTCGAATTTTGATTAAGCAAATGGTAAAAACGGAGCCAAAGAGCAGCGGTGAATAAACGGCGGAATGAAAGCAAATCAAAATAAAAGGGTATATTAGTTTTGTGCAAATTTAGATACTTTTGTACCAAACATCAGGAAGCATGATTGCCACATACATATGATCAGCCTGAAGAGACAAAATCTGAACTAAACGACACAGTTTTAACTTAATATGCTTTTTCCCTTCCTTCGCCCGGTACAAAAATTAAAAAAATTGTCATAAAAAGTAAATTTCATCCCAGTAGGGATTTTATCCCAGACCCTAAGAAGAGTTAGCGATCTGTTTTATGCCAGAGCTACGCCCCCAAGCTGCAGCTTCTTCGACCTTCCTGTTACTTCTGCTCTGAGCCGCACAACAAAGTATGTAAGCAGTTTTTTTGTAAAGAGTGTTTGAATGTCGTGCTTGCTCAACTGTAAGATCTTTTTATATTTTCTGTTATGGAATCGCAATCGAAGCGATAACGAAGGACCACTGACCACTTGGAGGGTTCGTCGTCGACCTTGAATTGTGCATCGCTCCGACATATCAGCTGTCACTCATCTGACCTTGTTCGTTTATTGTTGTTGTTTTAAACTGAGTTGAACGCGGGAAAAAATAAAACTAATTTGAGTAAACTTACATTGCAGTAAAACACAGGTGGCACTTTTGTTAGAAATATGTTATTTGAGCCGAAAGCTGTTTTAAAATTATAGGCAACTATTCACACAGCTGTTTTCGATTTTAAACTTATATTTAGAAGATACTTTTGTACTTTTAATTAAGAGTATAATGGCACTTTCTTCTTATGTTTTGATTGACTGACTCTACAAACAAACTAACACAGCCTGCCGACGCGCAGATGTTTACTGATGATCTGGCAGCACGAGCAAATGATACCAGATCGGTCTGAGCGCTTTGCCAGGGCTGCTGTAACAAAAAAACAGTAGTTTTGAAAGATATTTAGAAGAAAATATCAGAATTTATTTTTATGAATTAAATGTAAGTTTTCTGAATGTAAAAATGCAGCTTTGGCAACTTTAAATAATAAATGAGGTTGAAGCGCTGCTATCACACAAATATTTAAGCGTTAATATTGAATAAATTTCAAATAAAACTTATAAATTACACAAATGAATTTATCTGCAAATATCTTCTTACGTTTATGTTACAGTTCCAGTTGTCTGACCTAAAATATGTTTCTATAATATCAAATGATATCAAACCAGTTGTTCTTCATCGGCTCCTGTATCAAATATATTAATATAGTTTTGAATATTCTTTTTATTTTGTAGTGCTAATCTTCACTTATACAATTTTAGTAACAGTTGTCTGACCTAAAACCATTCCTATGACATTAAGTAGGGCACAGCACCAGAAAATGTATTTATATTTATTAATAATATATTTAAGTGCTATATTTAAACGTTAATTTTGAATATTGTTTCTATTTTGCAGTGCCAATCTTGATATTTGGCAATTTAAAAGAATAGTTGCTTGACCTAAAAAGTGTTGCAATGCCCCGCAGATATCATTCGCACTCAGTTGCATTTCGCTCAGTTTTTTTTTTCGCAAGCTTTTCTCTGTCGAGAAATGTAGGTGTAATTAAAATAGTGACTGAGCTGTACTTAGTCCCTTTGCTGAATGACTCATCATTAGGCTTGCTTTGCATTTAATTGCGTAGCCTACCCTTGGGTGAAAAGGCGCAAAGCTTTTTCCATCCATGCAGCATTCGACTTGGCTGTGACTCATACTCGCCTGGAATACTATATGCATTCATACATAAATCCATACATACATATGTACATACATCTGTACTTAAAAATTATGGCGGCTGTCAGTGTATGGCTGCGATTTGGTCGAATGCGGAATGTAAAAGGAATGAATGTGTTTTTGTTTTGCAATGTTCTTGTATTATGCTGGCGCCAGGCTGTCTGGAATGTGCGCGTCGTGCCAGATATCTTAAAACTGCAGCCAGGATGGCGACCATTCGCAATTACAGTACTTGGGAAATATGTGAAACTATATATAACATGTATGTATATGCGCTTAACATACATATATTTAAACTATAATTGCGGCTTAAGAATTTTTATTTAGACACCCGAGCGAGATATGCAGTACGCTCTCAAAAAGGAGCAAAGGCCTACATGACTTATCAGCTTTCATAAAAGTTATTTATAAATTATAACTTTTTTTGAGAAATTAATCGAATTTTTTATTTGCCATAGACTTTCAAGAAAGGAAAATATTAACTGGATATAAGCTACTGAGTTAAAGATTCAACTCAACAGATACCAAAAAAGAATATGCGAGGCTTTTGTAAAAATATTATAATATTAATCAGAAAACATTGAATGACAATGCCCTTAAATGGAAACTGGGCTCTTTATCTGCCTTCGGGACGCCCAACTTATCCATTTAAGGGCTAGAGCTTTTATATTATTTGGAAAATTGGAGCTGTATAAAAATATGAAAACATGCTTGTTTCTATTAGATTAAGTTTTTTCCATTACCAATTGTTTTAATTGTTTTAAAAATATGAAATATAAATACTTATTGTTCACTTGAGTTAAAATACTTTTGTTTATAATAAATAACCGCGAAGTTGTAGACCATTAAAATCAAAAGTAGAGAGTGTACAAATAATTATTGGTTGCGCTGTAAGTTTTTGTTGTTCTCGTTGAAAGCTAAGATGTAATTTCCTTTAATTCTAACCCATATTCTAACACAACACATTTGAGACTTTTCATTATTTAAAGCAGCCTTTGTGTATTGTGTTTATAGCCAGAAATGTAAACCAAGACACCCACAGTTCAGTCGCACTAAACTGAAGCAAGGTCATCTGTGTTGTTTTGCACAACAAAGCTGGCCAGCAGGGAAAGCTATTTCAGTTACAAATGGGCATAAAGCGGGCAAAACACTAAACAGACGTCGTAAGCAATAATTGTCAACCCCCGCAAAATGAGAATTGAAACCAAGACCGCCCACCCTGCCACAAGGTGTGGTGTGGTCTGTTCTGGGGCGGCATGGGGATGATGACCGATCTACTTGTGTCATAAAAGCGGCCATTAAAGTGCAGCTACACGAGAAGTGCATTTTTCCATTTCTAAGTGAGTTATGCGTCCACCCATCACCCCATTTCGAAATGAATTTTCAAAAGATAACAAAAGGGCACCGGGGGAAAAGCAGGTGGTGTGTACATCGAAGTAACTTTGTTTTTGTTTTTAAATATTGTTGTCTCCTATTTGAGCGGTATAAGAAGAAACCACTTTCAAGCTCTCATTGCTATCTGAATGTCCTCTTAGGACAGACGAGTGACCAGGCGATTGGATTCTATATTCTCTATATTCATTGAACAATAATGTTTTATTAAGCCCTGTACTTGATTGATAAAAGGTGTACTAGTTTTGTGCGAATGCTTGTAACAGAAGGAGGCGTGGCAGACCCTTAAAGTATTTATATTTTTGTGTCTATCCGTCCGTATGTCTGGATGAACGCTAGGATCTGAGCAATTAGAAGATCTAGTTACACTTAAGCCCTAGGCAGGTCAAGTTAATGGTTATTTTTCTTCTTTTCACATCCCCACTTCCCGCTATTAGTGATATCTTCTACTTTTTGATTCTGCTATTAGCTCGGCGGAAGTTTGTTTGCATGGGGTATTCCTTGAGCGTACTTGGATATAGGATATTGGATATAGGATATTGGATATAGGATATTGGATAAAGGATATTGGATATAGGATATTGGATATAGGATATTGGATATTGTGCTACCGCATTATCTACCCGAATTTAAAATCTCATCGAGTTACAAACTTAAAGAGTATTTAGGCTCATAAAACGTATCTTAAGTAATCGGAACGCCGAAAGCAAGACAATTGCTGGACCTATTCCACATTAGTATATGTCTTGCATTTACTTTATGCGAGAACATAAATAAATATTCACTTGATAATCCAACTAATATTAACCCATGAGGTAAGCGGTTATTATAATTCTAGTATTCTATTCTATAAAATAGTTTCTGCTTGTTATAGAGAGTCTCTAACACAATGTGGGGTACCCGGTCAGCTTCCTCAGATCAGAAGACGTGATAGCTTCACTTTGCTTCTAACAAAAGTGAATAAATGCGAGAAGGAAATCATGTTAATTTTTTTTTTCAACTATAACTAATGGATTCTTTTACTTCTTGTCATGAAGGTACACAACAAATTATTAAGGGAGATATTAAGGGATTAAACACTTTCTGACCAGTTTTTGACCATCTTTGATTCGCTTTTGAATTTGTTATAATCAGTTGTTTGTGTCATTTTTTTTTTTACCAATTATGGGAAAAATATTCTATATTTTATGCTAGCTCTGCAAAAAAGTGTATCTAAATTTATACAATTTGCTTCGGTAATAAGTTGGAGCATTATAGCTTCATCAATTTTGATAAAATGACTTTAAAAATCTTGCTAACCAGTTTTCAACTAACTGGTACTTACTCGTAAGTACTTCCAAAATATACCTGATTTATCTGCTTTTAACCATGTTTACTATCTTTAATAGGGCTGATAGAGTTTTAATTTTTTATTGTTAATGCAATGTTTGTTTCTTAAGTACCCACGTCCTTGCTTAATGCTGCAGGACGCACCTAAAGCGGCCGTTAAGAATGTAGGAAAGAGTTACCGCCTTTCTATGAAATTATGGCCTAGCGCTATCCCATTAGTCTTGTGGTATGCGAATTGGTAGCGAGTCAGTCGCCGCTTTTGGCCAACAAAGGCGTGTTTAATGGCTGCTTGGCTAGGGGAGAGGCGAGCCTTAACGATGGCGCCTGTTATGGAAAATCAATATGTAGGCAGAGTCCCGATAGCAATGCAGGGGAAAAACGTGACACTACCAGCTATTCTGGCAGGGTTGTTGTCCTTGTGAGCAGTTCATGTGGCGAGGCGCAACACTTGACACCGTCTGCAGTTACAAAGTCATTAAACTTTTAGTTTAAAGGACGCTAATTGGTTGTACCCATCCCCCATGTCTCCCCCATATCACTTACCCGACAACTCCGACACGTCCAGGCAGCTGGAGCGGCTCTTGGTGCGCTGCAGTAAATGCTGCATGGGAAGTCGCTGCGGACTGGCGGACTGGCCAGTTGGGGTGGCTGCCATTGTTGGTGCCCCGCCGACCCACTCGGCATCGATGGCCTTGGAGGCGCTGCGCTTGAAGTGCTCCAGGAAGTGGTCGATTTGCTTTTCGATCGATGTGGATGGCGAGCTCTCCATGGCTTAACAGTACATCCCTGAAATGCGTTTCGCACGCAACCAGTTACATATTTATGTTCTCGTATTTGGTGCAAGTTCCTCAAGCCCGAAGGTCACTTGAGTGGGAGGCGGGGGATGCCATCAACTTTGACCTTCTGCTGGCTGGCAACTCGACTTAATTGCACATTTTCCATTAGCAGCATTAATTTTTCATATCGCTAAACGTGAAATGCACTTCAAAAGTAAACACCCACCCTCCCAGCACTTGGGTCGCTCCTTGCTGCGCCCTTGTATGAAAATTTGGAAAACTGTTGGCTGTTGGCTGTTAGCTGTTAGCTGCACTTAACACTCAGCCGCAATTTAATTTGTGGAGTGGTGAGGCCTGAAAATGTTCACGTTGAGTGCAATTTCACTTTTTAATTGGTTTTTCCGCAATTCCGACGACCATCGACAAGACGCGCACACGGAAATTTATCTCTATACTATTTTTCGCCCTTCGCCGTGCTGCGAGTGTGGAAATTGCTGCGCGTTGCAAGTTTTCCGCCGCTTGGCTTTCAACGCTTTTCCAACTGATGATGACTCAACCGAACTTGCGCGTCGCTCACCGCAGACTGAAAATGTGGCAAGAACTGCCTTGCCTCGCTCTGCGAGGGTGGCTGTGGCACCCAAAAGACCTTCAGAGTGAACAGTGAGAGCGCGAGTGAGTGGGAGAGGGAGTGTGCTTTCAAAGAGCACGAGCTTCAGGTTGCAGCTTGGGTGGATGGGTGGTTAATGCGGAACCGGCATCCTTTTGTTTGAATCCCGAGTGCATCCTCAGTAGCTGTGTGTCTGCCTCTTTCCATTCAAGCTTCCAGCTACACGTGTTTCTTATGCATCGAAAGCTTAAGAAGTGCCTTGAAAGCTTTCATAAGCTGTGTGTAGTCAGCTGTTTTGTGGCTTTCATAACTGGACATGCAACTTCAGGCACTCCATAACATAACACTCCATGTAAAACAAAGTCGTGTCAGTTCGAACGCGTTGAAGCCGAGAACGACTGGACCAATTTTCATGGTTTTTGATTTGTTGTATTTGTCTCCGTCCGGAATAGCACAGTGGAATTCGAGCTCCAAATGAGGGAAAACAGGCTCCAAAAATACCAAAAACACTATCTGTTGTTTGTGAATCGACGATATGTATACAAACAACCATTATGCGAGGGCGTACTTTTTAATTATATTAAAAGGAAATCGTCGTCGTGAGCACTAACATAATTATACATTTTTTCGCTATTCAAACTTCAGAAGTCTCATAAATTTTCCCAAAACCAATGAACAACGATTTTATCTTCGATACTATTTCGAATTACAAGAGCTGATATATTTATGGAATGTGAGTATGTGCCTGATAAATCTTTTGTGCTCAGTTGGGAGAGTCGTCAATCATATGTATGTGTATTGTATGGGTGATGACTCAATGTTAGGAAATTGCGATGAAGGGGAGTATTTCGATCCAGAATCGGGCTCATGCGACTTGGCTGCAAATGTACAGTGTTTTTTGGATGATCCGGCAGAAGAGTTTGAGGAGGATGATCCAGAGGAAAAGGAGCAAAATCTAACGGAAAGAGTACCTGAAAAATTTGATATCTTAAACGTAAAGCCACTTGTAAGACCCAGCTGTCCAATTAGCGAAGATCCAAGTCAGGTTATATTCATGGCGAGTGGGGTGGGATATTGAAAGCAAATGCTGTGCTATGGCAATGCCAAGCATTTTTATACTCTGTACCCGTAGGGTAAAAAGGGTATACATATTAGGTTTGTGCAAAGTATGTAACAGGCAGAAGAAAGCATCTCCGACCCCATAAAGTATATATATTCTGAATCAGCATGACGAGAGAAACCGATCTAGACATGTCCGTCCGTCTGTCCGTCTGTCCGTGCGTCCGTCTGTCTGTATGAACGCCTGGATTTCGGAAGCGGCTAAGCGCAGATTTACCAAACTTGGTATGCAGGTGCTCCTAGTCCCTAGACTTTACGAGTTTATTTTATTTTTATGATTTTCCCTCCCCTCTCTCCGCTTCAGAATTTCGTCAATACTGTCCACATTTCAAAAGCTACATTAACCAAACTTTGCATACGCAATTTATATACAAATATCAGCATTCATTTTGAATGTCGTCGAAATCGGTAAATTCTAAGAAATGTTATTAGCGAAACAATTTCACTCCGGTACTACGCTCGATAACTGCAGCATCCAGTGCGCTCTTCTTCTTCCTTTGGCTTCTGCTAGAGGCGCATATAACTCGGTGTCGGAGGTTTGTCTGGGCACAGGGTATTTCGCTGTCGTGCTTGCTCGACTGTAGCGTTCCCTTATGTTAAAACATTTCATTAAACTTGTGTTCTACCATAATCTGATAGCTGATAAGCGTCCTATTCAATTAAGTGTTTCCACTAAAACAAGTCTGTTTTAATTAAATGTAACTTCTTAAACTCCAATCGAATGGTGTATAAAAGGCAAGCTCAGCAGCTGATATCCACTAGTACGACCAAAAATGAGTCCATCTATTCGTCATATTCGATCAATAATTAGTGTTGTGTGCTGGGCAACTCTTCTCAACGTAAATGCTAGAAACATCACCGAATGCGACTCTCAATCAGAAGTGTACATGCAAAACACTAGGCTAAATTGTAGCTATAGTATTATATGGTGTGATGGTGACTACTCGATGTTCTGCTCTGAAACAGATGTGTGCGATGAGAGCTTCAACTGCAGTACAGAGCAAATAGAAGAGAGCTCCACTACGAGCCCTGCTACAAATGGGGATCTAGATATTAGAGAAGTTTGCACAAAGGGCATCATCCGAAAATTTGTTTACCCACACAAATGTAACTATTACTACAATTGTATCGACGGCTTTCTACTGGTGGAGGCTTGTCCTTTAGGATTTGTTTTCAATACTGAAAAACAAGTCTGTAGCGAGAGCATTACGGATATAAATGGTTGTGTGCTGACGTAGTTAGTTCACCAAAACATCATTTAATTAATTTTCAAGTTTACTGTCACTTTTTATTCCCCTAATAAAAATATCAAGTGTCTTATCAATTGATACGAGCAATTGGTACTTATTTGATGAGTCTACAAGAAAGACGGTGCTGCTTCCGGATGTCGACAGTCTGGTTCCCACATATATATGTGGCTCTTGTGAATAGCGTACCTTTTCTTTCTGATTTTCTAGTGGCGCATGTTCTCAGCCTAGTTGATAATTTAATAGAAGAGGTGCTTACAACAATTCCAACACCTTTACTCCAGACAACTGCTGAGGTTTTGATACAAACCGACACCATAGGATCAATTGTCATTTAGTTTGGGAGAACATGACTAAGCATATCTACGTATTGTTCATGTTGCTATGAAGATATAGTAGAACAGATGTGTTCGATGACTGCAGAGACGTTAACGAACGCCATTTAATAGGACCAAATAAAAGGTTCGCACATTACACAACAATATCTCCATTTGAAGGAAAAGATTGGAAAAGCTACTGACAATACGCTGGTCTTTATTGTTTGAATAAATAAGTATTCAAGTCTATGTTTACCAACCATATATCTAAATAAATTAAAAATAAATGTGATTATACACGCGAACCATATTAAAACAAATAAAAGGAATTATTGTATGCCGCGATTCAAGGGCGTAGCCAGCTTTTACCAAGGGGGGGGGGGGGGGGGCCCAAAAAATTAAAATTTTGAATAAATAATGCCCGATGCATTTAAAAAATAATTTATGCATATGATCGATGAAAAAACTTCAACAAATCCAACGCAGATCCATCTTAAGGCGAAATAGTGCGTCATAATAATGAACGTGTGGTCGACTTTATATGGAAACATTTTTTCTAGGGGGGGCAACGGCCTCCCCCTGCCCCACCCCCCCTGCGTACGCCCTTGCCGCGATTGAAACTTGTTTTGAGCACAGCAACGTCAAAACCATTCTTAATCCTTCGAGCTCATAGGATTTGCTTAAAAATTACTTAAAAACTGATCTCACATTTGTTAACATTTGAAAAAAGCGTTTTAGTGATGGGCTCTCGGCCTCTCAACAATTAAAAGAACAATTAGAAAATTAATGCTCTGAGCAACATGTACTTTCAAAATTTCTAATTTCTAGCTCAACTTAAATAACGGTTTTAAAATTGATATAAATTCAAGAAGTGTAGAATATATTCAAGAAATTCAAGAAGAATCAATGTAGAAATTGAAACAAAAGCATAATTATAAATACTACCAGTTCTGTTAAATAATATAAATAAAAAATGATTGACTTAAAATATTCATGGTATAATTGCAAGATGTTTTTTTAGGATATTAGTAGTATACTCACCTTATAATGTCAAAAATTTTCCTAGTTTTCAAAACATATAAACATAATTCTTTTGAACTAAACAGTCATCACAAAAAAGAAAGTAAACTTTTTATTTGATCCAAAAATGCAACAAGACGAAGCCGAGGTAAGAAGTTGACGCTTTTCATTCAGTTTTTGCATCAAAATTTGTAAAATTTTTCGTAACTAGCCAAAACGCACTCAGCGTTACGTAGACGAGGTCTACCGTCGAGTGCTGGAGAAGCCCGATGTTGAAGATATACTGATCCTGAATCGATCGGGTGTTCCAGTGAAGACCACAATGGAACGTGACATAGCACTCCAAAATGCCTGCTTATACGACAATTTTCGGGAGAAGTGTCAGGTCTTTATGAATAAGCTGGAACCGCCGCAGGCTCTCACTATGCTGCGCGTGCGCACAAAGCAGCACGAAGTCATCATCACCCCAGATGGAAAGATAACTGTATTGGTTGTGCAAAATGCTCGTGACACTGCCTCACTAAATACTGTGTGAAGGGCATGATCTCCACATAAATGCACTTTTTTGGTGGTGCTTCGCAAAACCAAACCTTACTATGTTAATTCTGCAAATTAAATAACCAGTTATGAAATAAAATCATTTCATGTTAACGGAAAAGAATTAAGGCAATAACGCTTTTCGATTAGCAAAAATAGAAGCAAGCCCATGGATGATTTATTTGGGGTCTTTAATAGTTCGTTGGACAAAAACGTTTTTCGTAGAACAACAGGCCCATTGTATTGTCCCGAATCTTAAATAGCACATTACTCCAGTCGATTTTAATATTCTCCTTTGACCATCGTCTTGCTTTTGAGACAGCTTTGGTGCTTCGCCAATTCACATGAATTTTTCCCGGAGAGTCGCGCAATTTTTCCCGGAGAGACACGTGAAGTGTGTATATTATATCCCTTAAATTTTATTTGCTTTGACGCAAGAAGAAGAATTCCTTAAAAAGATGGTCAATATTACTTTGTCTTATGTTTTGGACACCTTTTTAGGTCAGGAATATCATCGACTTTTTTTTGTATCAACACCGACTTGTCCATTCACCACAAACTATCTGAGTATATGTACATATATATACGAGTATATATTGTTTGGGTTTAGGGTCTGATTTAAATGCTAAATGATATAATCTGTGAAAATTAAAACTTTTTATTGTTAAATATCAAATAAAAATTCTAAAATCTAAAGGTAGAATCAAGGGTTATATGTGAATTTTCGACCCAATTCCAAATTAAGTATTTAGTAGTTTCCTTACTTGATTTAATTCGAATTTCCACGGTTAAGTTTTATTGGATTCAACAAGTTCTATAGATGTTAGTGTTCCAAGCTCACGCTCTTAAACTGTTTGTAGATTTAAGAGAACCAAAGCGAGTGGCACACTTGGTATAATATTTATTTTACGATTCGCTTTTGAGGTGCCATCCGCTGGTATCTCTCCTCCTCTCTCTTTCTTTCATTATCTCACCGGTCCATCCAAAGCAATGCACAGGCGCAGAGCGAACCGGCGAACGTGTAAGCAACAGAAACAAAATCCAAGTGAGAGCGGCAAGTGTAGTGCAAATTCACTTTTGGCGCCTTCCTCATAAACTGGCGTCTGCGGCTTCTCCTCACCACCGGTTCACCCTCTTCTACAGCTCTTCTTGTTTTTGTTGGCTGTGCTGCCCATTAATTGACGTCAAAAAAGCTAAATCAGCACGCTAGAAGTAGCTAAATTAGTTATAATGCTGGTCAATAGCTTTATTTTTATCACTTCCATTAAAAAAGTAAAACATTTCATTTAGACTTATTGTGTTTTTCAATACTTTTCAGCTATTCTAAAATAATCGTTGGTACGATTTTATCTTATGACCAAAAATTGCAACATATTTAATACCGTATGGAAAAATAGTTTCATAGATACAAAAGTAATGAGTAATAAATTCATCTTCCAATGCTAAAAATAATAAAAATAAAAAGACTCTAAAAACAAATGCAGACGAATTGAGAACCTTCTCCTTTTTTTAAAGTCGTTTAAAAATATGCAGATTGTTTAAACTTAAAATTAAACATACATATATAAACATAAATCAATGTGCAGAACAGTGCTAGTATAGTTTTTTATTTTATGATATTTTTGTTACTTGGCTCCAGCTACAATTGTATAATTATTCTCATTTGAAAAACTTCAGAGCTGGCGGAAAAATAGCTGAATGGCCAGCACTGGTGGTGGATAGCGATGCCAACGGAGCGACAGCGACGTCGCCGCTATGCTGACGAAAGCAATGCCGTGGGCAAAGCCATCGCCACACATTTCATTTGCAGAACGCACAGCCAGCAATTCAGTTTCTCGTCGCTCGTGGTAGGCACAACAGCCGAACGCTCCGCATTTGCAAGCAGCATAAAAGCTATCAGTGGCAGACATTCTGTGAAAGCCGAACGGTCCCGCCCCACCCCAAAAACAAAATATAAAATAGCCCAACGCGAAGGACCTCCGTGCGTACGCAAATTCCGTGTGTGTTGCAAGGAGTTGAATTTAATTTTCTACATAAACCCAACAAAAAAACAAATCAAATAAAAGAAAAATGAGCAGTAAGTTTTCCCAATCAACATATGTAGTACGTCCAATGAAGTGCTGCAAAAATGTGGTGCACGAGTGTGTTAGTGTGTGTGCGTGCGCATGGCTCAGAGTTGGCTGGACCTGCCCTAAAATTGAACAAGCCGCCCGCCCGCCAGCCCGCCGTTGAAGTCGCTTTCAACTAAACTTAAACTACGTTCGTTTGAATCGCCCAATCGCCCTCCTGCCTGCCGCCAACGTCTCGTCTCATACAATAAAAACTTAAATCAAATTGCATTCTCATATTTCATAGCACGCTTGGTACACGAAGCTGTTCTCAGCTTTGAGATTAAGTCGCGGCACTTGCATAAATACTTGTTCCATTTAGCTCTATGGCGGGCAGTAAGTAGCATAGAATCTTAGAATATAATTCCGCCACATGAGGCAGAAATCTGCGACAACGACGACGACCTTTACTGACCTTCAATAGCATTTTGTCGCCGTCTGTGTGTGCGTAGTGTGTGTGTGTGCCTTCTCAGTGTGTGTGTGTGTGTGTATGTGCAGAGCATTTCAGATTTAAAAAAATATTTATTTGTAATTTGAATTGGATGCGACTTTTGCATTTCAGTTTTGTTTGTTTATGGGAAAAAGTATGCCATTTATGTGCATCTATACGTAGGTGTGTGTGTGTGTGTGTGTGTATTTATGTATAACAGTGAGCGTCACTGATAAGCGTTATATGCGCATGTGGTGGCTACTGGGAGAGTAAACGCAAGTGCGAGAAAATGTGAAGGAACAGGTAGAACGACAGAGACGAGCAACATGCTCACGCACACCATCAAATATATGTACACGTACATGCAGGCATACAAACGTACTATTCAAATAGTTAAAATGCGCGAAACCGCAAAAAACAAACCTACATATATACGTACAAGTATGTATGTGTATGTATGTATGTATGTATGTATGTATGAAAAATGTTGCTGATCGCCGAAGGCCGGACGTGGTGGTGGCGCCGCTGGAATGGAGCTGCTGCTGCTTTTGCCTTTGTTATGACGAATTGTCACCATTCAATGGCAGTTAGTCTTATTGATTAATTTTTTATTTTTATTTTTCTTTCGGCACGTAGTGATGCTTATCAGCACTTGAAACGATTTCCGCATCGGAAAACGTCATCATCTGCAACACCTTTGCATTTAAATAAACAGCTAATCATAATATAGAGGCATAACTACACACATATGTATGTACATATTTATGTATTGTATATCTAGTTTAAAATATGCATATAGTATATACGTATGTATGTATGTATGTTCTTGTGATATACACAGTATGCGTATATAAATAAATGAAAAATAGTTTATTCTTAGCCAATATGTGGACGCGCCACAAGAATTATGGCTGGCGACAGGCGCTAACGATTAAAATTGTTGAAGAAAATATACTTTGTTCGTTGGCGAAAGAAACTTTTCCACCACCCGTATCCATACCCATAGCCATACATGCGCATTGTTGTTTTTGGCAGCCTGAGTGAAAATCTGTCTATATATTTTATAATTTAGCGCCTTCGCCAAACGCCCACCCGCCTCCGGTCTGCTAATGCGTACATCTACATATGTACTATATATCTATGTACTATATATATACATATATGTGTGTGTGTTGCTGCTGCTGCGTGAAAGTTGGGAAAATTGTATTGTGAAAAACATGCATCCATTAAGTCTGTGTGAATTTATTCCCGCATTAATCACAAGTCCGAAAATATTCGTTAGGCTAATTTTCAAATCGAACGCAGCTGTTCAAGCATAGGGGCATTGGTCTTACATATGAATGTACATATATACTCGTATCCATACTCCAGCACAATTTCTCCATATATGTATTGACATCTGCCGGCTGCAATGCACACTCACACACATTACTTGTAATAGACCCCATGGCAAGCAAGGTCCAGCGAAGTGATTTAATTTCTAAAAATGTATCTTTTTATGTATCTTTGTGGCTGATGGATGCAGCAGCAACTGCGGCCCGCGGCGTCGTTGCCATTGCCGTTGTCGCTCTACAATTTCATTTCACATTTCTTGCTGCTATTTTTAGTTGCATGTTCGTTCGAGAAGTCTTTCGGCTACATCCATCCATACATACATACATATATGTAGAAACAAGCATATATACAACAACAGATACACAGATATAGAGTGTATATAGCGGTTGTTGATTTGCTCCCACAGAACTCGTTTGGCGTTGCTTGTGGGCAGCACCAGACTATAACTATGTACATACATACGTATATATAATGGCGACTGCACTTGCCATCGGCTGTGCACGCAGAGGGGGGAATCCGAGGGGGCCTTGCAGCATCGACGCGACTACCGCAAATGTTGCATTCAGTTGGCAGAGCTGTGTGGCATTCAAGCTTCGCTTGACCGCCATTTCTTAATGTCTTCGCATCAAAAGGATTTTGCGTCGCAAATTTAAAACCAAGGCCACAACTTTTCTGTTCCAACAAAAATATTATCAGTTTTAACTTCCTAGATATCTCTTTTAACTTATATTTTTCTTTATTATTATTATTATTTTTCTTAAACTATTTCTTTTATTCTTTTTGGAGAACAGTTGAAACTTAATTTAGTTTTTCGATTGATTTCGTTAGTCCAACCAATGAAGCTTCAAAAGCAAATACTTCTTGCATATCATTTATTTATAAATATTTATAAAAATAAAATGCTTGACTTCATTTATTTATTTTTGTATTGAAATGAAATGATTAATAAAATAATATGAAGTGAACATAATATGAACATAAATGTGCAATGTGTCAAATTGTAGAAAATTGAGAAATGTAGAAAATTTGAAAATAATATTTAATTTATTATTATTACTTTATTACATTTTAAAGGTGCGTGTGCAATTTTTTCTTTCATTCTCCACAAAGCCACACATAATTCAAAATCATATTGCCAATGTTCCTCCAGTATAATTTGCTGATTGTCCGTTAGGACAGATTGCAAATTTAAATCAACTGTTAATCAAAAAAAAAAAAAAAAAAAAATTCTTTAATTCAAACAAAGCTTGGCATATTAAGCTACAAATTTAATAACTTTTGAGAATATGCCAATAAGATCAGTTAAGAAATGTTTTTGAAAGCCTTTGTATATTTCAGTGAATTAAATTGAATTCTTAAGGCATAAAATATCTACCCATAACAATCATAAATCAATCATTTTTTTTGGAAAATTTCTTTTTCTGTGCGAATCACAATTATTTTAACGCAGTTATCTGGATTACTGTTTAACTTGATTTGATTTTATCTTGTTTCTGATGACCTTTTGAAATAAAAAGTCTTTAAAGTCTTGCTCTTTGGCAGAAATAAATAAATTATTCAATCGTCATCAGATAATTATCGTAACATATGCCTCGCCTTGCATGTGGGAGCTCATCAATCGACTTGGCCTTTCTCTTTGTTTAATCCAGAGGGGGTCGGGGGGGGGGGGGGGGGGGGGGGGGGACCGAAGTAACGAGCTCTAGCTGCCGTCGCATGTAGCATTGAACTTGCGGCAGCTTGGGGCCGACCTTTTCACGCTCATGCTCACGCTTCTTCGTTCTTTTACGTTTCTGTTTATCAACTTTATTGTGTTCCGGACGTACGTGATAAAGCGGGTGGAATGTCTGTGCGGAGGTGTGAATTCGCCGCGCACGCAGAGCGCAATCGCTGAAAATAACAATAATAAAAAAAAGCAGTTAGAGAATAAGCTTTGAACGAAATGTAAATGTAAATGCTCTTTTAAGAGAAAGTCGTGCACGAAAAGCTAACTCGGTAAAGTTACTCTGCATAAGTAGGTTAAGAGAGAGTGAGAAAGAGATAATCGCCAATGCAGAGACATTCTGAAAGAATTTCAAAACAATAGCACTATGCAACAAGAAAAGTAATACTATTTTTATGGGGGTATTTTTGACTCCTTCTAGACACGAACAGATTGTATTTTTTTTCCCCTAATATACTCGTATGGAGCTAAAAACAATCTATTGACATTTTTAAAGTATTAAGAAATACTTCAAATATACTTGATCTAAGTATATATTTGTTTTCTAATTTGTGTTATTAATCCAACTGGCTAATTTAAATAATCCCTATATATGTAAGAAACTTTAAATTAAAATCAATCCACCAAGTTTATTCATATGGTATATTTTTGTATTGTATTTTTGGATAGAAATAGCAATAGTTTTAAGCCCACAGCCCCACCAAAAGATTTTCCCGCATAATGTAATTGGTTGTCAAATATCTTTCTAATTTGTTTATATACACATGAAAACATTTGCAGCCATATGGCAGAAATGCGTGCATAATTTTGTGTATTTGACATTATTATTTAAGTTGTTTTTAAAATTTGACGCACAAGTCTAGTTTATTTGACGTTCGTCGAAATTTATGACTTTTGCTCGCGAATTGTTTTCCATTCTTGCCACACATTGTGAGCATTTTCGTTTTTGATGTTTTAATGTTATACAATATACATTTAATATTTCATTGTTGTGAATTGTTGGTTTTTCATTTGTTGTTTTTGGTTGAATTTGAATTTGAATTATGAATTATGTGCACATACTATACAATGCTATACTGTATATCATCCGGTAAGTCAGAAGTTATTAAAAGAATTTTGTGCCACTAAGTAAACGATTTCATTTTTAGGCACAGCAAACTGATTTCACAAAAAAAAAATAAAAAGAGAAAAGATAAAACAGTCAATCTAGAAATATGTATATATACGAATACATACGATAAATATATATAATGCAAGCACTGTATCGAAGTAAACGCCTGCCTAGGCAGCCAACACAGCACCATCTGTCCATGCCAATCATCTGCATCCAGAATTCACCACAAAGCGCCGCGTAGCGGAGAGTAGCGCAAGCATGTCGCTGAAGCTCTGGCTGTGGCTGAGAGGCGGCCAGCCCCAGCCCCAGCCCCAGTCCCAGTCCCAGTCGCAGTCCAAGACACAGACCAAATGCATTTGCCGCTGTATTGCTCGTTGTGTAGCCTCGGTGTGTGGCATGCCTCACCTAGAGCGCCTCTGCTCGCATCTGTAGCACAGTCAGAAGGTAGTTGTTCTTATATTTTTGTAGTGTTCTGCTCAACTCGCACAAAACGCGCTTCTACAATATCTTCCAAATACGCTTTCTTATGCAAATAAACCAAAAATGTACAGCCAACCAAACCTATCTACCAAATATATAAATTTATATATATTTAACTACTAAATCACTTAACACAACTATGTTCAATATGAAACGATTTATATACTATACTATGTGTATGTATGTATGTGTGACCCTTTGGTAGTAAAATTCTGTAAATAACCAAATTTAAAATAAATACAAGTATATATTAAAATGTACCTACAATAACTCAAATGACTATTTTTTTGGTTTTAATTCATTTTATTTTAGTCCTTATTATTTGCATGAATTAATAAAAAATAAAAAAATTCAGTTGCAATTATTACCGGAATTTTTTGGGGGGAAACTTAACTGCAGGAAAACAGATTGAAAATATTGCGAAATTGTTAGAAAGCTATTCACCTGTATTATTATTTTTAGCTTTATGATGCAAATTGTGAAATTCTTGAAAATTATATATTTCTATTTTTTTTTAACATTCTCATGCATTTTCATTCCATTTCAAAAACTTTGCGACCCATTACACACTTTATTGACTTCGGCAAATGTTCACACGAAATTGTTTTCGTTGCTTTATGACTTTTCCAGCTTGTCCAAGCATTAATCATCAGGCATTATTTGAAATTTCAAATTCTTGTGACACTTTTGAAGGAAATATCACTAGATTTCCATCGGGGCTATCTCAGTTCTCAAATACTTTCAATGATACTTCCAATATGTGAACATATGTTGTTCTCAATAAAAGAGCTCAAGGAGTTTTGTTTTGGAGAACATGCAGGAATCCAAACAATGTTTCTTTTATAAAAATATACACTTACTATTTATAAACTGTATATATCTGGCCGTAATGCAACTAATAATGCTCCGCTATGGTAAACATTAAAATTATTCTCTAATGCCGCCACCAACGTACTCGTACTGTAAATATAATTATTTTTTAGTTCAGCTCTTTTCCAACTAAATGCCAACTACGCAAATATTTTCGCTGCACACAAATGCGCTCGAACTGTGTGCTATTTTTCGAAAATTTTCATTTTACAGCTTTCAGCTAGCCAAACCATTTAGCCCCAATTGGGGGCGCAACTGTCGGGGCATTGCCAAAATGAGGAATGCATGTGCCCAAAGCGTGCCCCGCCTACGCGTACCCTGCTGATCGGCCGTTGCTGACGCAGATACATAATAAATATAATGCTTATGATTGCAGATGGAAAAGCTTATTTTTAAATCTCCTCGCTTTCATTTGAAACTAAAAAGAAAAGCAACCAACAAGCAATTGTTGAATGTTCTCGAGCAACAGCTGCAACGTTCCGGTTATTGTTTATCCATTTACTTGAACCCCGATATCTGTGTGTAGTATAGCATCTCAAGTGTGTGGCTTCACTTCCTCTTCTCTGCAGAATTCGCGTGGGTGACGCTGACCACAAATGATACGTACTCGCTGGGCGCTCTGGTGCTGGCGCATTCGCTGCGTCGCGCCGGCACTGCCCACCAGCTGGCCGTGCTGGTGACGCCCAGTGTCTCGGAGGCGATGCGCAACAAATTGAAGGACGTGTACAATGTTGTACAAGAGGTTAATGTGCTCGACTCCCAGGACGCTGCCAATCTGGCGCTCCTCTCCAGACCAGAGCTGGGCGTCACGTTCACAAAGCTCCACTGCTGGCGTCTGGTACAGTTCGAGAAGTGTGTCTTCCTCGACGCCGACACCTTGGTGAGTACGCATTTGAGAAGATGCTTTAAGATCATTTGGTGACCCACTCGTTCCCCCCCTTCCCCACTAGGTACTGCAAAACTGCGACGAGCTGTTTGAGCGCGAGGAACTCTCTGCCGCGCCAGACGTTAGCTGGCCAGATTGCTTCAACTCTGGCGTGTTTGTGTTCAGACCCAGCGTGGACACCTTTGGCAAAATCACAGAATTCGCCGTGCAGCACGGCAGCTTCGATGGCGGCGATCAGGGCCTCCTGAATCAGTACTTTGCCGACTGGGCGACAGCCGACATCAAGAAGCATTTGCCATTTGTTTACAATGTGACAGCCTATGCTTCCTACTGTTACTTGCCCGCATTCAAACAGTAAGTTGTATTTACAAACAAACAATATATACAAAATATAAAAAGCATCTTATAAGCTACAAGTAGAAAAGCCTAGGTAGGAGGAATCTAATCAAATTTCAATAATAACTAATAAACGCCTCCGACCCGGTGGAGGAATATTATTTACCTTTCCAACTAGATCTACCAATATGAAAAGAAACACATAATAGAGAGAAGCTTACAATTACTTAGAAACTAATTTATAAAAGAGAAGAAGAATCTTAGTCACAGTCATTCCTAGCCAGCGATTTCTGAGATGGCTGAAAAGAGAGGCTTTTATTAAAGGAAGAGAGAGAGTTCGGTTGAGTGCAGGTGAAAATAATCGTTATAGGTTGAGCATAAAACCCGAAAAAGATTGTACATCTACTAAGGAAGATAATTTCTTGTTGTTCAAAAAGCAACTAAGAAATTAATACGACTTAACAGGAAAGGAGAATCGAACAGTTTGTGGAGAGAGACAGCTCCAAGGACAGTCCTCCGATTGGCCAATGATGGAAGCTTTGTGAGCAGAAATCTGCTTAAGTAGGGCGGCAAACGAAGGTTGGATACAGATAAAAACTAATAGACCTACCATCCATATTTATTCAGGAGAAATCCTCCTTGACAAACTTTTTTCTGCTGATATAGATTCCCCTTTCCTTCTTAGCCTTGTAGACTTGGCAGTTCCCTTAAGATTTTTCTTCGATTAGGCAATCGATTTGTAGATCTAACTTCGCTTCACATGAACCCTTTCGTGTGTTGTGTTCTAATTGCAATCTTTTTTCGCACAACATATCCTTCGAACCCTCCATTAAGACTATTATTATTATAATCTCTAATCCTATCTTACTCTACTACTTGTTCCACTTGTTTGAATTTTATTTTTAAGTTCTACTATTTAATATATTGAATATATATTCTTTTGTATATTTATAAGTTTGTTTTTAATTTCTTCATCTTTTTATTATTTTTATATTTACATTGTTCCTCTTCTTGCAAAGTTAGCAGTTCTTTGTTAACTATAATTAAATAAATAAATCCCAGATCCATTGTCTCGCCTTCTCTAATGTACGCTTCTTCTTTATTTTCCGTTTGGCAGGTTCAGAGATAACATTAAGATTTTGCATTTCGCTGGCAAACTGAAGCCCTGGCTGATACAGTTCAATTCTGAGACCAAGTCCGCCTCCACGCCCTCCGAATACGCACATGCCCACGACCTCATACAGCTCTGGTGGAATATCTTCTGTGATAATGTGCATGAGCGCCTGACTGACGAAATGGTGAGTGATCCTTCAGTTCTGCACGCAAATTTCTACTTTCAGTTTCGATCTCTTCGACTTCCTTCGTTTCGTACTCCTCGTTCGTCTTACCTCAAACAAACTACAGACTTAACTAATTTCTGCCAATGAAAAGCCTAACCAAGTTTGTTGTTCTAACCCTCTAAAAAACAAAACAAAAAAAAAACCAAACATGCCGCCTCCCTGCCGCTTTGTGCCATTCGAAAGCAATCGCATGGAGCTGTTTCTAGTGATAATCTCAAAAAACCGTTTAACGAAGAGGTAAGCTGTCCTGCCCGCCCGCCCCGCCTCGCCTCGCCTGGCACCCCATGCTCCACACAACTACCAAGTAATACTTACTACCCATTGAACGCATCGTAGAACACCAGAGACCACTGTAAATAAACCACACTCTCTGTATTTATTTATTTATTTAATTATCCTAACGCATTGTGCGATCGATCATTCGATTCGTTCCTCTGTCTATCGGCCTTAGTAATAAACAAAACGTATTTCATTTCTTTTCTCATTGTACGTGTATGTAATGTTTTATTTACTTTTCAATCTGACCTCCTTTCAATTTCAATTGTCCGCTGTTTTCATTGAGCTTCTGTAGATTTTCATTTCACTATTTCGAGTTCCATTTCGTTATTTGCGATTTCTCTTGCTACCCAAGGGGCGCCTCTGGCCGCTTCCACGAGCATCATACGGTTGTGTTTTATTTCAGTTCTTTTTCCGATACACCATACTACTACTATATAGATACGTAGTACCAACACGATACTCGCAATTGTCCAAGTGTGTGTTTTGTGCGCTTGTTATTTGTTTTCTAATTTGCATCGATTTGGCTCCGCGCCAGCGGAATGTTTCGTTTTCGTCGTCAATAAATTGAAATGATCCAAATGGCAACCAAATCGAGGCGGCTAATTCACTTGGGCGTCTCCACTCGTAAATGCAAAGATTAAATGTCGACTGGGGAATTTAAAAGTGAAAACCTAATATTATTTCTACGAAACGACCAGTGCCCAGAGTTCAGGGATTCATCAGTTTGGAAAGGGACAGATACGCACTTGAAGTGATGGCAATAGTATGATTTTTCATTTGATATAAATATAGAATGTTTGCATTATTTTCTACTACAGCCTTTACCTCCTTTTAGGGCTTATATATTTCACTTTTGTAATTCGCAACTAAAACGATAGAACTTGATTTGAAGCCATATAAGGCAGTCGAACTAGTTGCTAAAATATGCCTCACCCGTGACAATTTAAAGAGGTCCTAAGACAGTGCTATTCCAGCAATTGACGAAGAATTCACACCTTCAGAAGATAAGAATAGACACTGCCACTTTGTCTTTAATAATCGCCATTAAAAGGGGATTCCAGTTCAAGCGAAGAATTCGGTTTTGTATTCAATTTAAGAAGAGATTTCTCAATAATAACCTTAAAAAATAAATCAAATATTATCACAGTTTTAGTTTAAAATATCTTAAAAAATAACAATGCCTCTAAAAATAACAAATTAGAATCTATTTAGATAAAGAAAACAGATTTTGAAGAAAATTTACTTCTTGTTTTTACACAATAATATATTTTTTAGTCTATCAGTTATCAGTTAAAAAAATGTTTAAATAACTGTAAATATTTGTTAAATGCTTAAAAGCAAAGACTTTACTTTTAAGGGTGGTTTCTAAGAAATACTGACAGTTTTAGATATATATATATTTTCTTTTTTGGTAATAGAGTTCACTTACAGCGTCGCAGATAAAGAAGAAAACAATAGAGATAAAATATTAAAAAAAATATATATTATAGAGAAGCTACGAATAATGTAGGACACCCTTTTACTTAAATCTCAAGAAGATGAAAAGGGATTGTGACGCGTTCTCCTCTTTGCAGATATTGTAGAAAATAATTGGAGAAAACAATAGAGATAAAATATTAATAAAATATATATATTATAGAGAAGCTACGAATAATGTAGGACACCCTTTTACTTAAATCTCAAGAAGATGAAAAGGGATTGTGACGCGTTCTCCTCTTTGCAGATATTATAGAAAATATTAGAAGAAAACAATAGAGATAAAATATTTCAGAAAATATTAAAGAGAAGCTACGAATAATGTAGGACACCCTTTTACTTAAATCTCAAGTAGATGAAAAGGGATTGTGACGCGTTCTCCTCTTTACAGATATTATTTAGACTGTCTTTTATTTTGTTTCACTCTAGCCTGCGTCTTTGTCTTTATCCTTTTTATTTGTCTTTCTATTTTTAATTTGTTTTATTTACTTTCCTTTATCTTTATTTGATTTAATTATGATCCTACTCTCTTATGTTGCGCCTTATTATATTTTGATACCAAAAACGAACCGTAACTCGATTGTAAATTAAATCGCGAATCAAAATAGTGCCTTCGTCTAAAAATCACGCATCGATCCAGAAACCACGAGCATAGACATGACGTGAATCAGAATCAGAATCAATATCGGCATCAGCATCAGCACCAACACGATCAGCGACAGCAACAGAAACACCAACAACAGCAACAACAACAACAGAACGTCATACATGTTAAAGAATTTCGCGATCCTTGGGCAGATTACTATGAGAAGCAATCAAAGGAGCCCGAGCCGGCAGCAAATGTGCATGAACATGCAAGTGAAAATGTCGAGGATAAGAGTTCATATGCGGAGGCGTATGAAAATAAAAATCCCGACAATTCAGATGAAGTGAAGCAGAAGCAGGCTAGAGAGAGCCAGAGTGGCGATAGTCCCAGCCTTAAACCGACACCCACTTCCCCAAGAATCTCTGTGGAAGACTCAATAGCTGTACATAGAACCGAACACAAGTCTCCATCCGAACACAACCCGCATGTCCATCGAGTGCGTAAGCGTCCAGTGCATTCTCATGAAGCAAGCCCAATTGTTCACCACACCAGAACCGACGAAGCTGCCAAGGCCAAGGCAAGAATTTTGGCCCAAGCACAGGCCCTGGACCAAGCCTCGGCCCAAGCCAGAGCCCAAGCCCAAGCCAAAGCCCAAGTCAAGCACGTAGCTAAGACGCATGAGGTAATCGCAATGGTCAACTAGAAAGAGAACTTCACACGCCTAGTGGCAGTCTGTACAGTTGAAAGAGTGATCGTCTGAGTTCATCATTTGGTAGCACCTCTGTCTAGTCCTGTACACTATCTAGTCGATCTGTCGTTGCTGGCGTCCGTAGCATGTTCATAGTCTGGGTGTCATCATAAAACGTAACTCTCGTCACTGTTTCATTGTCATCGTCCACGGTCCTTAAATTGTTCCCGTAGTCTCATCGTCGTCATCATCGTCATCATCGTCATCATCGTCATCGTCATCATCGCCTTTGTCATTCACACCTCTCTTGTCGCGTGATAACTGCATTTGCTGATTTAATAGACGCAAGTGCTTCCTTCCACCTGAAGTTGTTCTACTGGGCCCGTGCCTCTCCTCCTTTTGATTGTCGCACTCGTCACATACTATATGTATTTCTGCATGAAGTGCATCCTACACATTAGCAGCCACTTTATGCCGTCACCCACACACTCACACACGCACTCACACACACACGCACAAGCGAGCATGAACGTGTTTTATTCTCAACTCCTCCCTTTTATTGAGGGGAGGTAGGCAGGCTGTAGTGCATGTCAGGACCATGTGCCCCTTTGTGTGTGTGTGTGTGTGTGTGTATGTGTGTCATTATTGCTGCTCTCCAACTGACACCCATTGAGGCACTCACGTGCACGGCATCTGTTGTTCTTGTCCGTACTTTGGTGCTGGAAGGGTGTCCTGCAATTGTTCTGCATTATGCAACAGCCAGCCTTGCCTGCTTGCAGCGATTGGGGCTCCCAAAATATACAAGTAGTATGAGTTGAAGTTCCTATTAAATACTCGTAAAAGGCAGAAATAAGGAAAGGCTAAGCAATTTTTAGGCTAACCAAATGAAAATTTGCTTTTTTTTTAAATTAAGTAAAGCTATATATGAATAGCTAGAAAACATATTACAAATACACAATGGCAGATTTAAATGAATTAGTTGGATGATGATATGAATGTACGACACTTAATTCTGTTTTTGCACGGTCTTTTTTAGAATTTTATATATGCTTCAACGACCTTATTCCATTTAGTACAATTCAAAATAAATTCTTTTTTTGTATTAGAAGAGTGTTTTTATTTAAAACAATCATTAAATTTGTTAACAATAACATATGATCAATGTATTTTTTTACACGATTTTTTCTGGAACCAATCTACCGTGTAAAAACCGAATTAGGTGTATTTGTTAATTAATTAACTTTAAACTTGTTGTTATCAGGTAATTATATTTGCATTTAATATTGTCCTGATACGAATTGAATTCGTCATTACTTCGTGTCTGTAAAGCTTTTACCATTTTAATCAATTAGCAAGTGAGAGGGACATTGGTGTAGAGTCGTTGAAAGGGGTCGCATACTACGATGTTTGTAGTTCCCTCATTTCATTACCATTACCTTTGCCTGCATGCGTGCTCTTGGCCACAACAACAACACAAACCCATTGAAGTTTTTCATCTCGTGTTGATGATTTCGCTGCTTTTTCGGTCCTAAAACCACTCATTCATTTCACACAGTAATCTGCCCGAAGGTAGAGCGAAGCAATGCCGTGTTAATGGCAGTGTGCCAAACAAACAGGATTTATGTCTGCGATAGCAGCCAGCTGCCTAACTAACCAACTAACCGACCAACCAACCAACCAACCAACCGACCATCCAGTGTCCACTGGAACGCCCGCTCGCCACCCCAATAATGCGCGTTTCATAGCAATTTGTTGGCACATTAATCATACGCCACGTTGTGCTTGTGTTTAGTAAACTAACATTTGCATGCCCAGTCGAGTAGTTGTTTGGCAATGCATGTCATAGCCATGTGTATGTATGTATGTATGTATGTAGATATGTGTTTCGTGTGTGTGCACTGCACTGCACTGCACTGCTCTCTATATATAACGACGATCCTGAATGGAATGGTGCTGTTGTTAATGAAATGTTTGCTGCATACTTTCAGGCTGGACTTGCTGGTGCCTTATCGCAGCTGCGTCTTGGGGCACAACGCACCCCCGAACAGGAGCAGTACGAGAATCTGATGCGTCGTCAGTGCTGGGAGAGTGGACAGATAGACTATGCTGGCCGCGACTCCTTCGACAATATCTGGAAGAAAATAACGCAGACTTTGGACGCGAAACCGGCCAAGGAGGCTGACAAAACTGGTAGTTCATAAAAGCAAAGCAAACTGTTCGTCAATTCTCGTCATTTTGTTTTGTTTTACGTTCACTCAGAAGATTATTAGCCGAGGCACAAGGGAGACAATAAAGTTACACACGCACATGAGGTACACACACACTCACACTAACATTCACACACTCACACACACGCACACTCGTACAGAGCAGTGAATGAGATGAAATATGGCGGCGTGCCAAGGCAAATTGTCAAATTGGCTTTTCTCCGAGTGTTTGACACAATCAGAATGAACCGAACTGCACATGGCCACTTGCCATTTCTACACTCACACACACACACGTACATAAACACGGCCAAAGTAAGAGCAGTTGGCCCAAACTGAAAGAAGGAAAAAACGAAAGAAGCAGAAAAGGCACAGCAATTTTAATTAAGTTTTCAAATTTAACTTTTTGCACTTCCGGTGCCGTCTGTCGTCTGCACTCACACACACACACACACACACACATTTGCATATGCATATAGAGAAACACTCATGGTAACACACTCGTCGTGCCACACACAAACTTTTCCACTTCATTGTGTTTTAATTGAAAATTTTGTACTTTTGCCCTTTGTGTTTACCGATTTCTGGCATTGACTTTTTACCTCATCTGCATAAACATTCGCCCACAACTAACACCACACACTCCCCCCACACCCACCTCACCACACAACCCCAAAAGCTACATACCTTAAAAATGGAGCAATGTGTATATATAAAATAAACTGGTCATAATAATAAAAAAAAAAATAAACTTGCGAGCATTTTGTGCCATTTTTGTTGCAGCGTTTGCATGTTTGGCTAAGTGTGTCTATATATATATATATATACTTATATATATCTACAAGTATGTGCGTGTGTGCGTGTGTGGGAGCCACAGAGTGTGTAAAGATGTGTGTAACCATCTGCTAGTTGTGTACTCGTCTCAACCCACCATCCAGCATCCACCATCCGAGTTGAACGTAAATATTTGTTTCACAGCAAACCTATTTCACTTGTTATATTTAATTTAAAATATTGTCCTAATATTTATTCAAAAACAATCAAAAGCGATATCTCGTTTACCAGAACACTGTTCACATGTGCATTTTTATTTGTAATTTGTAAGTCCCGTCCATTTGTTCGTTCTACTTGTGGTATTTTAGAATCTAAGAATTTACATAAGTGTATTGTGGGCTATTCAAGCATATATTTTTGATATTACTTTCAGTTGTTTACTTTTAAGTTCTTTCACAGCACGCTCATTATTCATTTTCAACATTATACATCCAAATTATCCAACATGCCTACACAATTGAGTGGGTTACGATTTAAGAATCGTAGCTGGAGTTGAGAATGATGCGTTATCGTGTAAGGGTTGGGGATAATCAAAACGCTTGTGAAATCTGATTTATAGCGAATTAGAGGATTCAGAAAATTGATTTGAAAAGTTTAATACAAGTATTTCAAGCAAAAAATGACACTGTTAAGAAAATTCCTTCCTGACTTAAGAAATTGAAATGCAAGTGCCAACAAGTTTTTAGTTGAATTACATTTAAAATTGTATTAGGTAGCATCAAGCTATAGTGTTATGTATATATCTCATTTTTCAGTTGGAGAAAGTCACATAAAATGATCATCGCCAACAATCATGTTCATACGCCGCTAAAAGAAATTTTGTTTTGTTGCCGCATCTCGCATACTCATGATTCAGAAATCACATCTGTAGATATCTTGCTAACAACATTTGTTCGGAAAGCTAAAGCGAAACTACCCTAACCACATTTTCCAGATAACACACTAAGCTATAATCAATTGCTAACTCAAACCGCAACCGAGTTGCTGCATCCGCCGACATCGGAAGTATCCAGCCCAAGCCTAAGCTCAAGCCCAAGCGTACGCTCAAGTTCAAGTTCGAGGGCGGTGCCTGCTACTAACAATGTGGCTGCCACTGAGCCAGCTGCTAGTTCAAAAGTTGCGACTAACAAAGCTACAATTAACACACCAAAAGCCACAGCACCACAGCCCACACGTCAGGCTCAGCCCCAGACCTCGCAGGTGAAGGTGGAGGTGCAGTCGCAGCCCCAGCCTCCGCCTCCGTCTCAGGCCCAGCCCCAGCTCCAGTCACAGACTGCGCAGCACATCGTACAAAGCCCCAACGGCGCGCCCGTTGCACCCTCAAGGGCCGGCCGGCAGCGGGCGATGCGTAAGTTTAAATAGCAATTACTGAGGGTGCTGACCCTATACAGCTGCATGCCGTTGCTTCCGGCCTGTTACCGGCTGCAGATGACGACCCTGGTGGCGAAGAGGCTGCCCGAACTGGAACTAGAGCCCGAGCCCGAACCCGTGCACGTCTAAGTACAAATTAATCCGATATCGATCTACTTCTTATTTGTAAGAGATTTGCTAAAACGCTTAGTGCCTAGCCGCTGTAAACATTGCTTGGAAAACGCTAGACAATTGCCAACAGCGCCTTAGATGAAACGTATTTACATTTGTTTAGAAAACCAATTGATAATTAATAAAATAAATATAGAGTTCTAAGAGCTTGGATTTAACTCGCAATGCAACGAATTTATGAGACACACGCACACGAATACCACTCGAGTAAGGCCTTAATTAAAATCCACACTCACATATTATACACTTTATTCCACACCCCAACACCAAAAACTACAACAAAACACAAATACTTTACACACCCCACCCAAAATTTGAAGAGTTGCTGACCTCCGCCGATATTGAGGATGGCAAGATCGAGTACGACAAGGCCACCGGTGCCAGCACCCAGTACAAGCTGATCGAGGGCGGCTACGAAATGATTATCACAACGCCACAGCCGAATGGCACGGTGAAGACCCAGACGAAGACCTTCTGGGATCCGAAGCCCGTCAGCCAGGAGGATATGGTGAAGCAGCAGGCGAACATAAAGATCATTAAGCAACGTCTGGGCAAGGAGATACGCATCGACAAGAATACCACCATGTTGACGCGTGCCATCGAGGGTGGTTACGAGGAGGTGTACACCACAATTAACGAGGACGGCACCAAGAGTATCCGCACCAAAACCATCTTCGAGCCTGTGGAAGTGAATGAGAACACCAACACCAACACCACCACATCCACGAAGACCAACAAGACCAAGAAGAACGTAACTCGCACCTCTTCCGTCGACTCGGTCGACTCTACCGAGTCGCGTAAGCTCGTGCAGAAGAAGAATGTGGTGCAGAACGTCAACGATCAGCAGTCGAACTATCGCCAGGACACGACCATTCAGGAAACTCGTCGTGTTTCCCAAAATATTGAGATCACGGAGAATAATCGCACCGTACGCAAGAACTCGCTCCAGGAGCAGAGCATTAGGGCTGTTACCCAAAGCACCTCTGATGCCAACAAGAAGAACAAGAAGAAGGTCAAGTCCTCTGCTCCACCACCGCCCGCTGATTTCGTGCAGAACGATACAACCACTGTGGTGTCGAAGCGTGTGCCCGGAGGTCGGGAGTATACCTACTCGACTGAGCTGGAATCGGGCAAAACCATCACCACTTCAAAGACTGTCTACGAGGAGGAGGAAGTAGAGCTGACCGAGGAGGAGCTCAAGCAGTACAAGAAGCTGCTCAAGGATGCTGAAAAGCATAAGAACGTGACCACCACCAAGAAGCTGAAGTCGGAATCCGGCACCAAGAAGATTGTGCCCTCCGAGAACCCGGGCGATGTCACCACCGTAGAGACAATCAAAATCGAGGGCGGCACCGAGTACCACTACACCACAGTCACTGCTGAGGGCATTGTGAAGAAGGCCGTCAAGACTGTGTTTGATCCTGTGCCAAGCGCCAAGGCGAACCCCGACGACACCGACGAGGAGGAGATCATTGAAGAGTACGAGGAGGAGATTATTGAGCCGGGTGAGAAGAACGTCAAGACCATTGAGACGGTCCGTCAATTGCCAAGGAAGTTCGAGGGTAAGCAACAACATTACTCTTCTTCCCCCGGCCCTCACTAACTCCAGTAACCCCTTCTATCGTTTCGCAGAACAAGTGACCATTGAAACCCACGAGAAGAAGGAGAAGAAGGTAAAGAAGTCGATGGTCATTAGCAGCCAGTAGAGATCGCACGACGCCCCAGCAACACACACCCTAACACAATCGACACACACGCACACATGCAAGCTTTTGTATTCGCTAAATTTTTAGATCGAAAAGAAAAGAAATTAATTAAACAATTTGATATTGAATCGTGAAAAGCGCTAGTCTAACGGAAAACAACTATTTCTCATAATATTTCAGATAGTTTTCAGTGGTCTATGTATGATTTTCGTGAGTTGTATTCTAAATTATTTCGCTAGCTATTTAGTTCCCTGAGACAATATTTTGTAAAAGAAAATGCTTCATATATACAAGTACTACTCATATATTGTATTTGCACTTTGTATTCAAATGATATTAGTTTAAAGATACCTATTAACATGTTCATCAATAAAATGTTTTGAGTTCCAACAAAATCTCTAATCTCGTCTCACATCTCTAGTTTCTCTTCACTTTTGTTGGGGTTCTCCGAGAGGACTTGGTGCAGAGGAAGTAGAGCCCCAGCAGGGGTATTAGAATAATGACAAGAGCAACTGCCAGCACATCCAATAGATACAACTGGTACCAGCTGAGACTCAAAGAGGCCGAGATGATGTGAGGAGCGCCCCGGTGCTCTATGACGTAGTCGATCCAGTACATAGCTGTGTCCATAGCCCCAAGAGGTCGATCGCGATAGATGCGTGAAGCGCGTTTCGCATTCGTCTGGTACTTTGGATTGTACAACAGCTCCGAAAGCGATCCATTAAGGGTGTCTGTCGATATGGCGTCATAGCTAAGACCCAACGCATAGCCCTTAGCAACGCTTTTATGTATATTTCCGTGCTGATCGGCATAGATGGGTATACCCAGCAGTGGGACGCCATAATATACAGCCTCTTGTATGCCAAACTGCCCGCCATGTGCAATGAAAACCTTCACGTTTGGATGTGCCAATATATCGGCCTGAGGCAACCAATTCTGGATCATGACATTATCCGGCAGGTGGTCCAACTTATCAGCCTCGAACTTCCACAGAACTCGTTGCTTCAGACTGCCAAAGACTTCGAGGAGTATTTGAATTTTTTCCGGTGGAAATTCCGCGCTGCGCACCTGCGATCCTATTTTATTTGAAATATATATAACATTATACTTTTAATGGACATTTAGCAGTAATCCAGATCTCACCCAGACTGAAGTAAATGGCTCCGTGTGTGGCTCCGTCCAGAAAGTCCTGCAAGTGCTTGGGCAGAGGCTTTGGCGGCACAATATGCAGTCCACCCACTGGGATCATGTTAAAGGAGGTGGGTCGTGGCGCGTCAAGGGGCATGAAGTTATTTATCAAAATCGCAGATACGTTGTTGTTCAGTTGCTTAACGGTTGGCACCTCGTCTAGCAAATGGCTGAAATGTTTTCTGAGAATCGCATCTTGGGCGGGCAGGTAATAGAATCTTCGCAGAAACACCTCCATGGTACACAGGTAAGTGTTGTGGATGCGTTCACTGAACGATAAACGATCGGTATAAGGCAAATACATATGGGTCACAAACGACCAAGGCGCTACGAATCCAAACATATTACTTAAGTAGTTGGTATAACCGAAGGTGGAGATGGTCACAATCGGTATTTGGTACAGGTGGCCTAATATTAGAGCACCTTCATTGTAAAATTCCTCTGCCAAGAGCAAATCGTATTTGCCGAGCTTGTTCTTGGCCTGAATAAGGGCCTGCACCTCTGGCTGTTGGAAAGCAAAATCGGTACTATGTAGTCCCATATCTTGGCATAAGGCTATGAATGTTAGACTGGACAGATCAGCCATTTCCAGAACAGTTGTCTTTTTGGATTTCTCCTTTACTGAAATATTGATATTTTATTCCTCAATTGTTGGATGGGAATCTAACTTTCTTACTCCTCGGCCAAAAATCATATTGCGGTATTAAGACCTCCTTGTAGTTGGGACCCAAGTTTTCTTTCGCCAAAGAAAACGCTGTGATAAAAGTTACCTGAAAAAAAATCGGATTTATCTAGCAAAGTGTCGAAACCCCTATTCAAATAACACAGACCTCATGTCCTCGTTTCACCAGCTCCCTGACAATGGCGTTTGTCATAATTAAATGACTCTTGCCAGGAAAGAAAAATGGTGCTAGAATCCGAGCTGCCTGGTTGACCTCCATGCTTTGGAAGGCAACCAGAAATAGAAGACACCATCTTATTACCATGGACTGTTGCTGGAAGATAGCGCAAAACATAACATTATAAAGTAATAACAATAGGTTAGTTATTTTAAAGATCTCCCTTCACATTGGGTACTTATAGTAAGTAAAGCCGCATTTTGAATGCTCTACATTTGGGTTAAGCTAGATTGTTGGAGCGTTTGTTGCTAATATTAATGGCGTAACCGAAAAAGTCGAGTTATATAAGTAATAGTTATTTTAAAGATCTCCCTTTAGGAGCATTTATTGCCAATATTAATGGCGTAGCCCCCGTGGGAACGTAACCCCTAGAAAATGTCGTGTGAAATCGTCTTATGTGTGAATTGGACTTAATACAAAATAGATTTCAAAGGCAAACAAAAATAGTTTTACTGTTCGATGTACTTTTTTAAGCTTCTTGCTTTCTCAGCAAGCTAAATACAAGTATTTTTTCCAACTCTCCCTTAAACTTTAATGGTCTTTCGATAAGAGCATTAAGAGAGGTAAATCCTTCTTCAAGCTTTTCTATAATAAATCAGCTTGTCTTTAGAGTTCCTGTCATTTGATTTTGAACAGTTTGCTTCATTAAAAGCAATTTCAAGTAATATTTTGTTATCCATGCGTTTATCTTCAAACAATCTTTGCGTATCATCGATAGTCATGTCTGCAAACTCTTCACTTTCAATTAAATAAGAAAAATCTAATATTTTACGGATTTTGCAATTGAATTTCATGTTTTTTAACAACCACTGGCCATAATTGCTTTCAACATTCGTACAATAATAAAATAACCAACTTCAGCAATTCTCAATTGGATTTTTTTTTGTTTGAAGCACTAAATAGATCGTTGGATCGTTCAGCGTGTAGAGCGCCTGATATAGTTCGTATTAAGAGTCCAAAATATACCCTGATCCATTGGCTGCAGAAGTGATGTTGTATGAAGTGGAGCAAAGTGGAAGTGCTCCCAAAATCTTTTTTTAATTAAAAAGAAAATACATAATTTGCGGAAAAATCAATTTTTTTATAGAAGAGTATAGTATAGTAATGAAAATATTTGGAATTTATGCAAAAAAAATTGGATTTGGGACCAGTGTGCATTGGCTTACATTCTTTGGATGCCCAGAAACAAAAGCCCCTTAAATGTAAATTCTTCGTTTAAAAATAGTTTTCAGCTGCAATCGTGTTAAAAGGAGGAACGGAACAAGTTTATAATCGTGTTAGACTAAATTAGTAGCATATTCATGCTTTTATATTTAGTTGTAAATTAGTTGGTTGTCCACGTTTATTAAAAGCTTATGGTCAGTTTTAGTGGCAAAGGCCTTTTATTTGAATGATTGCCAATTAGTCTGCAACATATCGGCGCACATCACCGAAAGATCGTTCCCTTTGGGAATCGCATTCAATATCGTAAGTATGCTCCATTATATGAGTACTTCTATGCCTTTACTATCTCTCCAAATGCTCTCATTTTACGTTGGCAGAATCTTCTCATACAAGTAGTCTCTCTCTTAAAAGTTTATTCTTAAAAGCTTCGATAAGTTAAGCAAACATGCGTTCGCCTAATCTTGCCTAAACAGCTGTGTGAACTAATCAGAGCATTGAACTCGATGCAAACTAATATTTATGTACTACTACTTAGTTATACCAGCCAAACTAAATTCTTATCTTTCGTTTTATTTTTGCTAATATTTTTATTGTTTGGCCGGCTAATAATTTTTGCTAATATATTCTACTTACCTACACTTATGTCTACTTTTATTTAAATTTTTTATATTGATGTTTAAACTATGTGTATTATCTAAGTATTCAAAAGCAAATCATTAAAATGTTGTTATTAAGATTAGTTTTTTTTTGATGTCACATAATTTAATTGCGTTAAATAGTGAGATCATGTGTGTCATCCGTGAGCCAACTTAGCGAACGATTGTGTGTTTAGGGATCGTCGGTTTGTTTATAGGCATCACGAATATTATGAATGGGTGGGAATCATCAACATAGCGAGCTCGTTTAGCCACTATGGGCTCCAATGTAGCTCACCTCTTTTCTCTAGTACTTCCCACTTTATCTTTCTTTGTCCCCCTCTGATTTTTAGGCCTCCCACTCCTCATTTTAAACATCATTATATTACGCCTGCACTATACCGAAGGGTATACGTTGGGTGCTACAACATTTTAAGAAAGCCAAATAGGTATTCAACCTAAAAGTGGAGTTACAAATCGCCAGTAAACTATAATTTTGGACAGTTGTAGAACAACCTGAAACTATGCGCTTTAATTATTAAATCTTAATCGAATGAGTTAGATTATTAGGGTATTCAGTTTTAGTTTAGCTCAACATATGTATATACCACTTAATACTTTATCATTATTAAATTCTGTTTTCTTTTATAATTAAAATTATTCCTATTTATGTAAAAGCTGATTTCAGCTTCAACTAACTATACTTAACTATAGTAATTAACACTTTTCTTAATAACATAAATAGTGGCATGCGTCATTACATCGGCAGATCTGATGGATCTATGTTTTATAATAAAATCGTTTTATTGGCGTTGGAGAAAATGACTGAAAGAGTTTGCGGCGAAATAAAAAACAAAACAAATAGAAATACTCTTCGCTTCACTCGTAATAATAATACTCAAGATTAATTATGTAATGTTTAATTGATAAGAGCCCGAATAGATGTGAATCGGGGGAGAGGAACTGTTAGTTCTTTATCTCTATAGTTGGAAGTACGAGTAAAACTAAATTAAGCACGAACGAATGCTACAGTCGAGCAAGCCTGACAATGAAATACCCTGCACCCAAACAAGAAGAAAAAGAAGAACAAACCCGCTTCTGCAATTTGTTGACGTAGTATTGAAGTGAAATTATTTGCGAATAACTTTAAATCAAATTAGAAACAAAAGTAGAATTTATGTAGTAGTGGAATTTATTATTTCTCTTCTTTTCATTTCTCATATTTAATACATATAGGATAAATAATATGAGATATGTTTCATTGCATATATATTATAATGCTTTTGGAATATATATTATAATAATATTGGTATAACTTTTTTTAAAAATCATATTATATCCAATTTAAATATTGTAGCGGGCGAAGGGGGCAGGGCAATAAAAAACAAGAAAGGAATGCTAAAGTCGAGCAGGCTCAACTCTTAAATACCCTGTACCACCCCACAAAAAAGTAATTAAATTAATTAATTAATTTAATTAAATTAATTAACTAAATTAATTTAATTAATTAACTAAATATTAACTAATTAAATATAAAATATTCCATGCATGCATACATACATTTACAATTACATCAGAATCGTGTCTATGCGTGTTTGTGTACTTGTACATATGTATGTATGTGTGCATTGAGCCTGGTTATATGGCTATAACTTTTTTTCCGATCATTCTATCATAATGAGACTTGGTATACGGTTATATAATTACTAACCTAATGTGACAACCAAATTTTAGTTTAAAATTCCAAGAATTATGGGAGTTATAGAAAATCGTTAATAGGGGGGGAGTGGGGGGGTGGATCAAAAAAAATGAACAAACTCGTCCTTTCTCGGTCTCAGGAGAATCTGTATACCAAGTTTGGTTATTCTAGCTCTTATACTTTCGGAGATCCTTGCGTTCATACAGACAGACAGACGGACAGACAGACGGACAGACGGACATGGCTATATCGACTCGGCTTGTCATGCTGATCAAGAATATATATACTTTGTGGGGTCTACCAAGCCTCCTTCTGTGTGTTCCATGTGCACTCGCACTAAACTAATATACCCTTGTACCCTTTGGGTACAGGGTATAAAAACAAGTTTATTCACTTTGCGCTCAGACGTTTCCGAAATCCATCCGTTTATCCAGACGGACGGACAGACATATCTGGCTCGATTTCTCTCGTCATGCTGATTAAGAGTATATAGAAGTATATTCTTTCTTCTGCCTCACACATACTTTGCACAAACCTCATACGAGTATTGGGTTGCATTTAAATTGCAAGTCACGCTTATAAACATTCTAGGCATGTAATTACGAATACTATTCAAAATATACAACTGTTTCTATTGCTTACGAGCATTTGCAATAGGCTGCTTACCATTTTGTGTGGCCTGATCTTCCCTTTACAATTCCGTTCACACACAAAGCACCTTTTCGCACCAAACCCGGAAAGAGACTGAGGCGCTTGCCTCGGCGATTCCTAAACTTATAGAGGCTGAACGTGTTCTTATCTGCAAATGGAAATATTTTCAAGTAGTAGTGCTCTGATGAAATTCAATAAATATTGCCCACCGGCGGCTCGAATTCAAACAGACTTTTAAATACTGAATAGGTACATATTTTATTCGATTGCTTATGTTGAGATATTACACGTGATTTTATTTGTTAAGCTTTATTAAGTATTTCGAACCGATATTAAGTACTATACACACAATTTAAAGGTTGTTTAATTTTATTTTCTTTTTACAAAAATCACATTAGTTAGTTTATATTGTAAATTTCGATTTGCCGAGCTGGCGTCGATGCGGCTCCGCTTAAGTAAACATTTTTAGGCATTAACGAACTTCTTAGAACTAATTAGTTATTGAAGCATGCGTAAGTACATAAGTAAGAGTTTATGTTCGTTCGTACACACTCGCATGTGTGTATGTGTGTAGGTATGTATGTATGTATATATGTATAGTATATATGTATAGCATATCCTAGCCTATGTCCTATGAAGTCCTTTATAAACTTAGGCGAAGCAGTCGCATGGCTAATGAAATGAATTTGAAATTTTGATTGCAATGCAACCGAATGCACAAACATAAGGGTGGCAAGTATATAGGTATGTTTGTATGTATGTACGTATATATGTATTGATGTAGTGTTTGTGCGGGTAGGCGGCATTATCGGTGTGTGTTGTTGGTTGTTGGTTGTCCCTATCCTACTTAGATATTAGTGTACGCTCTAAGGCTAAAGGCTTAAATGGAATTGAATTTCTTGTACGCTCCTCTCTCGCTAATTGTGCGCCCACAATGTCGACGTGATAAATGGCGAGGAAGCCACAAAATGTTGCACTTTCGCCGACATGCCACATGCACGGAGCTCATATGATAAAGCACTGCCAACATATGGAGTCGGACGTGTCATTCAGCTTCTCTTATATCATGTGTGTACTCGTATGTATGTCTGAGCGAGTGAGTTTCCTTCATTTTTCCTTCATTTCGCTTTTCCAACAAAAAAGTAAACGGGAAAAAAGGCCACGGGCTCTGTTGAATATTGTATTGCGGGCGGGCGCACGATGTGCTTATTACTAATACGCTCTGTTGTGCCGAGACTGTGTCGTCGCATCGGAGGCTGGGGCCTGAGTGCCGCACCCTCCTCTCCTGGTGTTCCTATCTCGGCGACAGCCGCTGTGCACGTGCACAGAATTAGTCTTATATATACTTGGATATATAGCGCTTCTGTACGAGTCGGCCGGCCTTCTTCTTCAATATGGTGAAGCGTATTAACTGCTAATCATTGAAGTGCGGCGACTGTGGCGGCACACGTGGATAGAGCTGTGAAATAGAGAAGCATGGAGTAGTGGGGTGGGGAGGGGCGGTGAGGGCAGGGCAGTGTCATTCTCATGTCCACATTACTGTTATTTGTTACACTTACCCCGAGAAGATTGCGTGGCACGTAGCCCTCCTCGTTGGCCATGTTGCGCGCCCACCACCATTCGTTCTCGGCATCGTCGCCCTTTCGCAACACGATCAGCGGCTCATTGACTTGGAAAGTCAGCTCGTCACTGTTTTGGGCCTCATACGAGAATACTGCATAGACCTCACCACTGTGCAGAATGCCCAGCTTCTCCTGAATGCCTAGGAGAGTATAGAAAGAGCCTTAGATATTGCAATCCAAAAATGTTAAAATATAAATTCTTTTAAGCCTGAATCCAATCGAAATACTTGGGGCGTTTTCTTAGCTTTAATAAATTGATGGATTGCTGGACTATTGCCAGTCAAGGTATTCGTTAAAGGGCTATACAATTGGGAACTAGGAACTTCCTAGTGGGAAGTTAGCAAATAATAATAATAATGGATTGTAGGATTAAATGAAAATCAACTTAGCCCAACTATTTGTGAATTACAACTTTAACTTCAAAGGCATATCCAATAAACTGAACTGAACTCCCATCCATATCTTTAGCATATCCCTTAAATATAGACAAATGAAATTATTCGATAAAGAGCTATAGATAAGGAAAAGCGTCCAATGGAGCTAGGAAGTTAGCAAATAATAATAATAATGGATTGTAGGATTAAATGAAAATCAACTAAGCCCAACTATTCGGGAACTAAAACTTTTACTTCAGGCACCTAAATTATGAAAAGGGTGATCCAAAAACTGAATGACTTTCTTACAAAAACTGAAAGACCTCTCAACTGGACCACAATCCACGCTTTTAAGAATTGTTGAAGCTATATATTATTGAGCTATATTATTGAGCTATATTATTGAGCTATATCACTCATTAAGGTGAGTTCATAAAGGAACAAGGAGCTACCCGAAGGATAATAATTGTCCATTGCAACTCACTGTATAAATACTCGGAGCAACCGTCAAAGCCCTCCTCATCCTCTTCGCATTTCTCCACTGGCGTCTCGTGATCGGACAACGTTGAGGCAAAGAGGCAGGCACCGCTCTCCACGAGAAACTTGACCATGGACAGATTATTGCAGCTGGCAGCACAATGCAATGGCGTCCAACCGTCCGAATCTTGTGCGTTCACATCGCAACCAAACTGTACCAAGAATCTGGAATCACATGGGGTTGGGGGGGTAAGTAAAGAATCTTAGAACTACTAGACTCTGACTCACTTGACAATGTCGATGTGTCCGGCACAGATGGCGTTGTGCAGAGCTGTGATGCCTTCATCGTTGGCTGCGCTGGGATTGGCCACCTGCATGGCCGTCTTCTTCACCAGCTCCAGCTCGCCTTCGAGACTGGCGTCCAGAAGCAGAGCCAGCGGATCGAAGCTAACGCGTCGCGCTAGTTTAGGCTTTGCGGGCGCATTGGATCCCGCGCTGGTGCGTGGTCGTTCCTTGACTGCTTCGCTGGGACTGCTGCTGCTGCTGGCACTCGACGTCTCGCTCTGTTGGGCTGCACGATCCGGCTCGTCGGCACTGGCGTTGCTGCTGGGCGAGTGCTGATCAACGGGGGAGTGTGACGGTGCGGGCACGGGTGAGACCTTGCTAGGATCCATCTGGAGTTGTGGAGGTTGCTGCGCCACCGCTTGTTGTGGCTGCGCAGGCTGGGATTGGCGCGTCTGACCATTGTTAGAGCTCGGCATCGCCAGTTCGGGCTTGCGTGGGCCGCCAGCTATGCTTAGACTCGACTTGGCCACATTGCTGGGCACACTGACGCCTTGAGCCTGGGTGGACTTGAGACGCGGCTGCTCGCACATTGGCTGCTTGCGAATGGTCAGCGGTTTGGCTTTGATGGGCAAGTTATCATTTATGTTCAGCGATTGCAGACCAAAGGTTGGGGGCTCCGATTTGCGAGCCACGTTGCTCGAACTTGTCGTTGGACTTGGCTCCGCAGGCTGCTCTATGGGCGACATTTTGCTCGGCTTGGGCGGTAGCGCTGGACGTGGATCTGCGGCGGCGTTGGCCACCACATTGGGTGCAACCCGATTCACCTTGGGACTGTAGGTAATCATTTTCGGTATGGCGCTGGTGACTGATGTGGGCGCCACGCTGCTGATGGGCTTGCGCGGTGGCACCACAAGATTTCCACTGGTGTTGGCCTGCAGCGGTTTCGGCTTTAACTTGAGCAGTAAACTCTCCGCCTGATGGGTGGTTGTGGTCGTGTTGGTGGTGTGGGCTGTGGTATTCGAGACAGCCATGGCCACAGATTTACTGACAGCTCCGAGGGGCATGCTGTGTACCGTCAATTGCTGCGTGTTGCGCTCCGAAAGCGTTTCACTTGTAACCGATACCTCATTCTTCTTCTGTTCCTGCGACTCCTTTGAGTGCTGCTGTTGTTGTTGTTGTTGTGTTGCCGCTGCATTCGCTTGCTGCTGATTAAGCTTGCTAATGAGGGCAGAGGCCGACGCGGCATTGCTTGTCACAATGCTCTTGGGTATTTTGCTGGCATTGCTGCCAGTCGAAGAAGGCAAGGTTGTGGCCAGCGATGGCCCATCGACATTTGAAATGGAGCTAGCAGTGGAGGTCGCCACCAGTGGCGCTGTGGCTGGCGCAATGTCCTTAAGCAGATCGCGCTTTTTGGGTCCCACTTCGGCGTAAATGTGCGTCGTACTGTCCATTGCCTCGGACTGGGCCTGTTTGCGGCTCTCAGCCTCCGTCTTGGCAGTCGCTTTCTGCGCATTCAGCAGCTTCTTGGCCAACTTGGACTCATCGCTTTCACATGACGCACTGCTATTGGCTGGGACTGGTCCCGCCGACCCGGCAAAGAAGCCGCTGTTAGGCACCGCATTGGCCAGGTTCATCTTAACGTGCGTGAGGTCCTGGATCAGCTGGTTTTGCTGGTTGGTGTTGGCTGTCGCAGCTGCATGCTTCAGTATGTTGCCGGCGCTTAAGTAACTCGCCGTCGTCGTTATAGTCGACTTCTGGGGCGTATGTATAAAGGGTTCTACGGCGGCTACATTGCCGCGTGCGATGTTTGCACGCTCGGCGGCCCGGCTGGCGTTATGGGGGAAGGGTGGTCCATGGGCAGACATATTTCCGGCTGCGGCTGCGGCCGCTGCTGCTGCCAGCTGATTGACTTGCTTCTGCAAGAGCTGTTGCTTCAGGGCTGCCACGCCCCCATGTTTGGCCAAATTGGTGGCCTGTTGAAAGGCTAGGTCGGCGGCAAAGGCATTTTGTTGTTGCTGCTGCTGCTGCTGGTGTTGTTGCTGCAATTGTTGCTGCGCTGATGAGGCAAGCAACTGAGCTGTCTGAGCATGCAACTGTTGTTGTTGCTGCTGTTGTTGTTGTTGCTGCTGCTGCTGTTGCGTGTTGCTAATTTGTATGTTCGCCTGCTTCTTGCGCTGCAGACGTGTTTGCAGCTCATAGATACGTTGATCCACAGATCGCAGCTCGGCTTGCCGCTGCTGCAAAGCTTCACGCTGCATGTGTAGACGTGCATCCTGTTGCAAGGACAACTGATTGCGATACTGCATCAGCAACGAGAAAATTATAAAGAAAGAGAGATGTTGGAAAATGAGAAACAAAAACCAAGGGGGTCTTTTCTCGTTCAGCTCACCATCAGCTCGCGACGCAGCTTTTCCAGCTCGCGGGAGGCCTGGGGCGGCAAGGCCTGTGTGGCGCCATTTCCCGTAGTCAAGAGATTCACAGGACATCTGCGGTCGCGCCGCAGCTCCTCCAGTTGCCGCGTAAGCGCTTCTACCTTGGCTACGGCTAGACCAAGCTCCTTTTCCTTTTCGCTAAAGAGCGCGCGTATCGAGTCCAAGTCATTGCCTAAGCACAAAAAGTTAAACGGATTAGCTTAACGGCTGCCCCATAATTCAAAAGCGCAAAAGTTTGCCTAATGAGGTTACCACCATTATTGTTGATGTTGGCGGGCGATATTTTGTGGGCGGCCGGCCGCGCAGATTGCCACGGAATTAGTGAAGCCTTTGCGTGCCAGTTTCTGTGTGTGTGGGTGGGGCAGGGCCATCGCTCGAAAGCTCGAGACTAATTGCTACAACACGCTTAGGTGAAAAATGTTCTCTCAAGTAGAAAACAATGCAAAACTATGGTAATTTTTATGGTTACGAACACTTTATAAGCCATTTGGCAGTGGAACTAGTATACTATACGTTATTAGTGTCCCCGACAACTCGATTAAAGCTTGTTCTTGTAATTAAATGGACAGCAGACTAATTCATGTTGCACGGAAGTCTTTAATTCAGGTAAGGGTTAAGACCAGACGCGATTGACTCCAAGTTCCTAACTAAATGAAGTATTGGGAAATAGTTAGTGGTCGCGAACTTAATTAAAGAAATCTATGTGTCTAGCTATTTAGCAGAAGACTCTTCAAATCAGAAACTTAACTAGCAGGAATTGCACGTCTTAACCCGACTCAATATAATGTTTCAAATTGTATTTATACCCATATGTTTTCACCTTATAAGTTACCAATTGGAAGGTATTTAAGTTATTTAAATGAACACTTTCTGTTCTTTACAAAAATTTCGTTAAACGTACACACACATGACCACTACAACTATTATTTTTTAAAGCTCGTTTTCCCCCTTTGGAGCTCGAATTTTCCAAAAGCCCTTCTTACCGCGCACCTACACTATGATGAATACTATGAAAGGATACTTCGGTGCTCAGCTTTCAGCTTCCTAGTTCTTACCGTTTGGGCTGTGCGTTGATTGCCAATCAGTCAGGACAAACTGTTTTATATATATAGAGATAACTCACTAATGGTGCTCTTCTTATTGAATATAGTACGAGCACTTAACAGGCAAGTAGTCTTCGTTATGCATTCTATTCTACTCTAGAGTGGACAACTTGCGTCAAGTTGTAGCTCAAAAAAACTGGCGTTTAAAGTCCTTACTTATTCTTTACAGAACTATCTGTTCATGCTGTGGTTAAGGGGTTTCTTTTACAACCTGTGTACACTTGTCTGACAAATGAGCGACTAATAAATACGAATATGTACAAAGTCTGTTGCGTTATCTCCCAAATTATTACTTAAATCTTAGCGAGCTGCTAATGGGGGTCCTTGGAATATTTTCTTCGTGTTATGATTACCCCCAAGCAAATGCATAGTCATATGTCTACATAACTGGCACACTGGCAAGTTCTAAGCGTTTTAATTGTTTGCACACTTTCCCAAATGCTCGTCAAGACTATTTCGCATCCTGAAGCGGCTGATATGGCAGACAGGCTCGACCGTCTACTTGGCTTTTCGACCCTGACATATCCCTTCGCCAAGCTCTACGCCAGCTGAACTAATTATTAGGCAACATTGGCAGCGACTGTTTGTCGCTGTGGCGGCTCAAGTCTTCAAAATATTTTGCGAGACAGTTCTAGGGCCCGCCACAGGCAATCATAAAGGACAACAAAGTGGCACACATACATAAATTAAATGCTCAGAGACGAATCTCAGAGGCAGGCGACGGCACACATGCAAATGTGAGGACCGCGGTCGGCACTCAGCACATGTTAATCCCACCCTAAACAGACACACTTGCCCTTACTCGCCAATGTACACCCATGAAGGGTATGCTGTGGTACTTAGCTCAATTGGACTCATCGTCCCTGATCCTCCACAGGTACATATGTATGTGTGTAGACAGGGTGCTTAGTGCCCCAGTCTCTGGCCCTTTGACAGCCCCAACCCAGCCAGCCTGCGCTTGATACTTACTCAGCGTAACATTGTAGGTCTTCTGCAGGTCCACTTGACCCCGCAAGGCCCGTAGGCGTCTGAGCTTGGATTCCTGCGCCTCGACACGCTCGCGTAGTCGACGCAGACGCTCGCCTTCGGCGCTGGCCACCGCACTACGCACCTCCTGCGATTTTAGGAAACGCAAGCGCTGCTCCTTTGTGGCCAGTAGTTGGTGCTGTGAGTCGATTTGTTGTTGTTGTCGCAGTGCCATCGCCCTCAATTCGGCTGACGTCAGCCTGCTGGGCACCTGCGTGAATAGAGAGAGCAAACATGCCCATTGAGGGAGGGTTAGTAGTTGGCCAAAGTGCGCTAATGTGTGTCCACACTTCACGTAAGTGTGTATCCTTGTGCCTGTTATCTGTGTGTGTGTGTATGGAGTAGTATATGGGATGTGTGTCAGTAGACAAATCGTTAGATTTTCAACTTAAGATAAGCTAGGTGTCGCCAAATGGGCGTTGTCCTTGTCCTAACCTACTGGTGTCGATAGCGCGAAAATGAAAATAAAATTTACAATTTATAACCCTCAACTTCAACTTGAAAATGGGACCTTGGCTCATGGTTCTGTGGTCACGGCCCGTCGGTCCGCCGGCCCGCTGGCCCTAGATAGCCGAGCACTCGGCTTATAATAAATCAAGTTATGTTTATGTGTGAAAAATGAAAGCTAATTTAGAGATTTCTTTTGCCATCTATTGGCCAACTCTCGTGCCGCGCCCCATCCACGCCTCACCTTTTTTTGTGCCCATGAAAGACAAAGGGACGACGGCAAAATAGATTACGTTTGACACCACGACCATGAGCAGGCTCACCCCAAATGTGCCAGCTAATGCAATAGCTATGGTAGCATCTGCCTAAAATGGTCATAAACATTTTAGGAACCTACATTTCTGACGATCTCTAAACTGCTGACGTAATTGGATCTTGGAGAGGAAAATGTTTTGTACACAAATTTTTTTGTATATTAATAGACTAAATTATTGGAAAATTTGTAATAATCGTAATTATTAAATGTGACATAACTGGAACCAGGCAGATATTTCCTGTTAAAAAAAATTATTAATGCTTACAATTTGTTGATTAATATTACTGCCTTATGACTAGTACGGAAAGCTTAAAATCCACATTTCTGTGGGTTGGCTGCAATGATATGGCTGATCAAATAGAGGGGTAGTAGATAGAATATATGCCAAGATGACATAAATATTTGCTGCAAATATGGCCATCAAATAGATGACAAAATGGAAGAGGTTCTACTTTTCATCTCAACACATGCAGTGAATAAAACATTTTGGTCAACCACCAATTTCATCCTTTTCCAGACTATCGTTCCATCAGCCAGCTTAAGAGAATACAGCCAGCTGATCTGATAGATTTAGCTTTAAATGTTGTTACCTAATTTTTGCAACCAAGCTTACAGCATTTTGTAAATCCGTATAAATTGTTTTGCACAAGTATTCATTAAATGGTTTGGTTCCTTTTTGTAATAAGTAGTAAGCAGTAGAGTTAGGCTGATTCGTTGCTTAATAATTTAAGTTAAATTTAAATAAAACTATTTCTAGCTTTGCAATTGACTCCAACCAGATCGAAGAGAGTCAAAAACTAACCAAAATGAAATATTAGGTTTAAAAGGTTTGGTTCCTTTTTGTAATAAGTTGTTAGCAGTAGAGTTAGGCTTTAACATTTACTTTAAATAAAGTGAACTTTATGGCATGTATGTATGTATTATATTTATATTTATTTTATATTTTATGGTAATTTTTTAAGAAAGCTTTACCGAATTTTTAAGCTCAGTAACTAAGAAGCAGCAAACATATTTTTTTTTAGATCTGACAGAAATAATTTTAATTCCTAGCCTGCACTTGAAAAGCTAAAAATCATCTGTTTTAAATTGTTTTAAATTAAATTTTATAAATTTAAAAATACATACATATGTAGTTGCAAGATTTGTAAATGTTTTCTGGAATGTGCAACTTCTTAATTGAGCCTTGATTTCAAATAAAGGTCACTCATGGATGAATTTTGCCAACGCGGCTTCTGCGTGGCCAGGCCAGCTTAACATTTATGGACTGTACCTGGGCTGTACTCACATTGAGTCTGGGCTCCGATGTCACCACTCGGGTGGGACTGGCGCGCGCCTTCGACGCGGGCATCATTGACGGTGGCATTTTCGGAAGATTTCCCGATACGGGTCGACAGACACAGGTCAGCATTTTGCTTGGGGCTTTGGCTAACAGATTTTTATGTTGATTTTGTTTTTGTTTTCGTTCTTGATTGCGATTTGCTTTGCGGCAATTCAGCTACGTGACGACGTACTATAGTTGTATTCTGTTTTATTTTATTTTTTTAGTAGTTTTTTCTTATAGTATGTTATTTTTATTTTTGCTGCAATATTTAACAACACTTTTCACTTTTTGCCTTTCCTTGAGTTTGCTTTTTATCCTGCATTACACTTGGCTTAAATGCAGTCGTGTTATTTATTATGCGCCACGGCATGTCCCTTCATGCGTTGCAACGATTCCCTTTATTCCGTCCCTGAGCTGCTGGGAGGGCCCAGCACCGACCAAACCAACCTCGCCCATTCTACGCCTGTCAGCGCGCTTTCTTTGCATGCAAGCCAGCGCTGTTGATTCGACTGCAGCAAATTTGTTTTTATTGTTCGAAAAATATATGCGAGTGTCGTAGTTGCCTGACTTGCTGGCAATATACATACTCGCACACACATACAAACATATGTACATAAATACACGTACATATGAATATAGTACATGTGGACGCTGTCTCAGGCTGCCATTACCATTTGCCGGGACTGCTCGCCTTGTAGTCGTTAATGGATTTTCAATTCCGAGTCAGAACCGGCGCTGGCGCTGGCGCTGGTACTGGCGCCTGATTGAAAGCATAAGTACTTTGTGGGTGCTGGTGAGTGTTAGTGTTGGGCAGTGTTAGTGTTGGCGACAGCTAGTGTTGGTTGTCGTTGTCATTGGCAACGGTGACAATAACAACGCACGACAAGCGGCAGTCAACGCGCTTAAACAGCAAGTGCCAGCAGTCACCAGCCAAAAGAACAACAACAACGACAACACGAAGAACAAAAGCAACAAGAACAGTTATACTTGTATGAGGAACAGCAACAACAGAAACAGCAGCGTAGGGCAAGCCAACTACAGTTGCGTGCACATAATCGGTCGCACTTACAGTTACAAGCGCCAACAACGACTGGTAAGTAAATAGGAAGCCCCCATTCCAGTTAGGGTGGCCGTGCCTGCAGTGGACCAACAACAAAACTGCACGCCCACACGCAAGCAGTCACACCCACGCGCACTGCACACGCAACCATTCAACACACTACTACCACACACACACATACTATACACAAATAGAAATAGGTTGAGCAAACAATAAAATGTCGTCATGTTGGGAAATGGAAAATGAATGTGGAACTGTGGCTATGGCTACGGCTCTGGCAGCCAACCAGCCATGTCTCCATCTTCTGCAAAGTAACATTGCCATCGACATCGCATCGTCTGTCAACGTCCACATCTGCTGTTATTCTGCCCCCCGCGTTGCTGGACAACTGTGACGGCGGGTGCGAGCATATTGACGGCACCGACCTCGACCCCCCTTTGGTTGGAGAGACGCTCCAAAGCAGCTTCCGTTTAGCTGCATTTTCATTTAGACTCCAGCGTTTGGGGGGAAACGCTGATCAATTGACAATCGGCTTTGTGCCGACCTTAAGCGCTGCGAGGCGTATTTTAAATTGATATTGTCGGATTTAATTCACTTTTCATTCATGGTATTGTTAAAGTGTGTGGGCTTTAGAAATTTTATTCAACTATTTGTGTGAGTACTAAAAACTATTAGCGAGCTTCTACTGCTAAGCCTTCGTAAATGGGATAGTTCTTGTGGTAATTCATAGTAGACAACAACTGGAAACTCTTGAATCTGAATTAAATCAGAAAAAAACAAATACTGGGACTAGTTCTCGGGTTTAGGAGAATCTAGATAGCAAGGTTGGCTCTAATAATATCCGAGATCCTACCGTACACACAGGCAGACGGACAGGTGGACTCGTCTTGTCAAACTGACAAACAATATAACAATATACATAAGTCCTATCGAACACATTTGGAATTTGTTGGACAACGGGAATCGCAAGGATAATATTATGTCGCTAAAGTCGAAGAATAAGTCGGAGAAAATTTGGGAATACGACACCCAAGTTTCAATGAAAAGTGTGCCTCTACGCTTACAAACTGTAATTGCTAAACGTTTAACTAGTTACTAATGTAGCTAAAATATACAAATTAAGCTAAGATTTAGCGCCTGTACGTAAACTTTATTGGCATGAAAACTCAAAAGAGTTCTTTTGTATTTTCAATCATATTTCCTTGTTTTTGGTCCGACAAGTAAGGGAAAAGTGCTGTTGTGTGAACAAATATAAACCCAATCATTATCTGAAAACTTTGGGTTCATTTGTTGTTAGAAAATTTACTATTTTAATCGAATATTCTTTAAAAACCAAAGTGTACTTAAACTTTATTTGTCCACTGTATACAAGTACATATGTATACTTTGTGCCCCCTCTTGTGTGTTACAAACATTCACATAACACTAGCATACTCTTTGGGTACAGGTCATAGATTGGTCACATATAGTAGTTTGATTAATCGAGAAAAATGAAGAAAAGGGACATGTCTAGATCTTTATGCTCATCAAGAGACAGAGACAGAGAGAGAGGAAGAGAGACAGATAGAATACTTGTATAAATGTGTACCTTATGTGGTCTGAGGCGCTTCGATAAACTAACTTTTATCCACTTATAGCTGATTTTTTATTAAATTGAAGCATCTTTGTACATATTTTCCCTTGGGAGCAGCAAACTCAATCAAATTATTGTTGCTTTAACCTACTTTTGTGAAAACTCTGCGTTTTAATGCATATTGTTTGCCATTTACCTGAAAACTCTGCATTTTAATGCATATTGTTTGCCATTTACCTAAAGACAACAAGGGCATTAAATGTTAACAATTAATTTAAACCGTTTTTAATGACTTCACAAAAAGTTTATCATATATTGAAATGTTTTTGTAATATGCACAATTGGAAACTGTTCTTGTGCGTTTGTTTTGCGGTCGAGCAGAATCGGAAGAGTGTGCTCTTGCATTCGTACCCATATTGGACCAGGGGATACCACTTGGAGACTCTTGAGAATAAGGCTTGCCTTTTGAATTCATATTCATATGATAACTAACT